GAAGGAAGGAAGGAAGGAAGGAAGGAAGGAAGGAAGGAAGGAAGGAAGGAAAAAAAGAAAGCAAGGAGGGGTGCCTGGGTGGCTCAGCAGGTTAAGCGTCGACTCTTGGTTTCTGCTCAGGTCATGATCTCATGGTTCATGGGTTCGAGACCTATGTCAGGCTTTTCACTGACAGTGAGGGGCCTGCTTGGGGTTCTCTCTCTCCATCTCTCTGCCCCTCCCCCATTCATGCACATGCCTGCTCTGTCTCTGTCTCTCTCAAAATACACAAACTTTAAAAAGAAAGGGAGAAAAAAAGGGAAGGAGTCAGGTATAGTTTTTTTTTTTCAGAGAGAGAGAGAGAGTGTGTGTGTGTGCGCGCAGGGCGCACCACTTGTGCAAGGAGGGGGAAGGGCAGAGGGAGAGGAAACAAAAGAATCTTAAAGCAGGCTCCACACCCAGCGAGGAACTCAACCCAGGGCTAGACACATGACCCTGAGAGCTGAAATCAAGAGATAGATGTTTAACTGACTGATCCACCCAGGTGCCCCAAGGTATACTTTGAAAAGCATACTTGGCCCACTGTAGCAGCTAAAATATAAGTTTGATTTCTCTAATAGACACGGAGAATAGTTGTGACTTAAATAAAATGGAAGTGTATAGCAATCTGGCCATAAGTAGTCATACCAGGCTGGTATGACTCAAGGTAGGAGGGATCCTGGCTTCTTCTTATCTTGCTGCTCCAGAGTTCCCATGGTGTTGTCTTTGACCACATGTTTCTTTTTAAAAAAATTTTTTTTTTAATGTTTTTATTTATTTTTGAGACAGAGAGAGACAGAGCATGAGCAGGGGAGGGGCAGAGAGAGACGGAGACAGAATCTGAAACAGGCTCCAGGCTGTCACCACAGAGCCTGATGCAGGGCTCGAACTCACGAATTGCGAGATCATGACCTGAGCCAAAGTCAGACGTTTAACCGACTGAGCCACCCAGGCGCCCCTCACCACGTTTCAAGATGGCTTGCCACCAAGTCTCATCCCAGCCAGGGACAAATGGGAACATGGGGGGCACATGCCTTGGGGCTCATGACCTCATAGTTACACACGTCTCTTCCATTCACATCCTATTGGCCAAAATTTAAATCACATGATCATATCTAACTTCAAGAGAAGCTGGGATATTTAGTCTTTGAGGTGCTATGTCCCACTAAAATTCAGGAATCCTATTAACTATAGAATAGATTTTGAAGGATATCTACCAGCTTCTGTGGCATCCACCATCTCGGATGTATTTTTTGCACATGATTACACTCCAGCCTGCCCTAATTTCACTCTCACCCCCTCTAATCAGTCGGGCTTCCATGTTGCTATCAAAGTGCTTTCCAATTTGGAGTGCTATTATGGCACTCCCCTGCTCACACACCAACCCTGAATCCCTAGAACCTAGAAAAGTTATTCTCAAACTTTAACATGCATCAGGAATCACCTGGAGAGTATGTTAAGACAGAGATGTCTGAAGCCCCCGGCAGAGCTTCTGATTCAGTGGGTCTAGGACCTGAGAATTTGCATGTTTAGTAAGTTCCCAGGTGATGCTGATGCTGCTGGCTCAAGGACCACACTTTTGTTTTTTTAAAGATTTCATTTATAAGTAATCTGTACTCCCAATGTGGGGCTCAAACTCACAACCCCTAGAGCAAGAGTCGCATGCTTTACCGACTGACCCAGCTAGGTGCCCCCAGGACCACACTTTGAGAACCACTGAACTTGAGACTAAATCCCATGCCCCTTAACCTGCTATTCACAGCCAGCCTGTTCTCAGCCTACTTTCCAGTTTCATTTCTTATCCTTCCCTTCCCCCTCCACACACCCAAGGCTCCAGTCACAGTGCAGTTCTCACCTCTCTCTAAGCGGGCCAGCTGTTCACACCTTTGTGCCTTGCTGTTCCTTTTGTCTGCAATGTCTTCTGCCTGGCAACTTCCTTTCCACATCCTCTCTGAATCCTTTCCTGACCCTCTAAACTGTTGTTAAGTCATTCTGTGCCCTAGGTCCCTGCAGACTTTGTACATTCTTCTATTATTGTTCTTCACAGAGCTCTCAGCCATGGCAACAAGGTCACTGAGTGAGGAAACAGGAGTATGAATGAGGAAAGGGAGGCAAGTAGATGGAGTGAATGAACAAAGGAGGTGAGTGAAAAGAAGAAATGATGAGTTAATACATGAACAGGTGAGTTATGGTCCATTTGTGTTTGGTTGTCTCCATTAAGTCCTGAGCTCTGGAGCAGAAAGGGAAATTACTCCCTGACCACATTAGTACAAAGTTACAGCCGTCACTTACTTCTTAGCAAGATTTAACTGGGACCCAGTATCCATCAAGCCAATCCCCCAGAGTGTTCAGGAGCTGACAGGGGCTGGGGACTCACACTGGGTCATTTCCTGACATCGGGGCTTAACCTCCATTCAATCCTCCCTATTCTCATGCATGCTGGTGTTTCCAAAAGTCAGTTATAAGACATTTGGGAATGTGGAGAAACAAAGATGGTGGATGCCTTTCAGGGCCAAGATACAAAAGGCTTTTTCACCAGACAAGTGATAAGGTGTCAGGGTTGTTTCAAATTAAAATAGTAGGTTTGAGGTGCTAGAACTACTCCTCCCCCGCCATGGGGAACCCAGCTTCCTCCAACCCCCATAAAGGAAGTCTCCTTTGGCTCCAGCAGACACGGATGTGGCCATTAGAAGGGACTCCCTGTCCCACTGTGGTTGTCAACTCAGCGATGGTGCTGAGCATTTCCTGCACCACAGCTGTATAGTTTCAGAAGGCATTGCACCTCTTTGAGCTTCATTGTCCTCCTCTGCAGGGTGGAAATAGTTCTATTCACCTTGTAGGTGTGTGGTGAGCATCAAAACATGCCAGTAGAGGGCCCAGTGCAGTACTAGGCAGATAGTAGGTGTGCGACAGAGAATAGTGTTCTCGCAACTGATCCTTCAAAGTCTTTTCCCTAATGAACCAGGCCCAGTCAGAATTCTGGGGTTCTTCCTCCTATTTATAATACCTGCCTTCCTCTCTCACAATTTTACCCAATTTGGGGATCTGTCATCCTACCTCCTCCATAAAATGGGTCTCTGCTCCTGGAACTCTTTACCAGTGATGCTTCTCTGGGGAGGTCTGGCTTAATGAACATGGAAGTGAATGGTTAAGCAGGGGATCTGCAAGCTGCACAGGTTCTGCAGTGCCCAAACCTAGGAGTGTCATTCATATCGGCCATAAGGGAGTAGGGCCCCGGTGAGTTCTATAATGAAGAGTCTGTGTCTGCAAGTCAAATGGACTTGAGTTTGAATCTTGCCTCAACGATGATTTATTAACTGCTGATCACCTAGGCTTGTTTTCCTCATCTGTGAACGGGATGTTATTAGTACCCACCGTGTAGGGTAGCTGAGATTTGTAACTTAACAAGTTTAGAACAGTGCCTGGTATAGAGCTAACATTTACTGAGTACTTAATTTTATCGCTAATTCACTAATCAAATTCATTAATGAAATTAAGTGTTAGGTGTCTTTTCTGAGAAGGTTCTAAGCAATCTGCAAACAACGAGTCACTGAAAAACAGCAGCTAGGCTCTGCACCTAGTGGGAGGCAGGCCCTCATGCTGTCCTCTCTCAGAACTCCACTCCAGCCTTCCTTCTTGCCAAAGTCCACTTTCATTAGTCAGGCCCTTTTTTAGTTGACAAGTGATGAAACACCAAAGCGACCTAGCTTAAGCCTAAAGAAGCATTTGTGGACTGATGTAATTGGAAGGTCCAATGGGAGATCTAGGGCTCCAGCTACATCATTAAAACTTTATCTGCTTCTCCATCTCCTGGCTCTGCTTTTGAGTTGGCTTTATTCTCAGGCAGGTTCTTCCCCATGGCAAGAAAGTGGGTCACCAGGTGGTCTAAGCTTACATTCTAAGGCTTTTGATCCAAAAGAAGAGAAATCCTCTTCTCTCAGCATCAGAACAAGCTTATGGAAGGCCTCTGGCCCAGTTCAAGTCAGATGTCCGTTCTTTAGACCAATTATCATGGATAAAGAATAGGGTGCTGTGACTGGCCAAGTTGGGGTCATTTATCCATCCTAATTTGACAGTTCCACAAGAGCCATATGGAATGGGGAAGCGGCAGGTCTAACAGTAGTGCTGAGCATACAAGAATGTTGCCTGTCCTTGCCATCCTTCTTTATGGCTCAGTTCACAGGTCACTTCCTCAGGGAACTGTCCCCTCCCTTGTCCTGTGTAGACCTCAACCTTCCCACAGTAAATTTACAAATTATTTTCTGACTCCCTGACTAATCTGGGACCAACTTGAGACAGGGATGAGAGCACATTTATTCATCTCTATCGCCTATACCTTGTTTCCTTCCCGGGCTGTGGGAGAGACATTATTGGTGGCCTATCCAGCATCCATTTCCCCATTCCTACTCAGATCTTTATTGAGTTCCCCCGTCTTTCCCCATTGCCTTGGGCTTGGTGGGGAAGCAGACTCCACTCTCACTAGTTAAAACCCATCAGAGTCATCCCTTGCCACAGTGACTGATTCAGGAATAGGCATGTGAGAGTTTGTTTGGGCCAGCGAGACATAAGGGTATTTGGGAAAGGCTTCTTGCTTTTGGGTGGGCCAGTGAAACCAGTTGGCTCCTTCCTGCCCTCTCTTGTGCTGGATGTTGACTGCTACTGGCTGCACAGCTGGAAGAAAATTCAGTTTAGGCAAAAGCTGACATCATAGAAGGCAGTACAGAGATAACCTGGACCCTTCATGGCCCTGTTGAGATGCTGGGTTGGCCAACCCTGGAGGCCATCCTGCCCCAGGACCACCAAGCCCCAAACCAACACATTTCCTTCTTACGAATCCACTTGGAGCTGAGGGTATTGTTACTTGCAGCCACAAGTACCCTGAGAGCTCTTCCTGAATGAATGACATGGGTGAGTGTCCAAAGGCTGAGAGCCACCAAGCATGCCCTCCCCTGCCACCCACACCAGTTCTTTTCTTTTCTTTTTTTTCTTTCTTTCACACCAGTTCTTTTCTAACCTGTAGTTAACAGACATTCAAAGATTTGGGATACTTAAAAAAAAAAAACAAAAACACAGCAGTCACTTTACTTTTAGGTTTGCACTTTACAAAACCACAAGGGAGAAGTCCTTGAGGGAAAGAGGGGAGGGAGTGGGGGATAGTAAAGAGGGGGAAGCACAGAGTGGGCCTCAGGCCAGCCCAACAGGGCCTCCCATGTCCTGGTTGTACAGAGCTAGACCAATGACTTCAGGGAAGGGCCACAGACCTCTACAGACTGTCATCATTTGACATTAACAGGCAGTCACAGGCCTAGGGTTCCGGCAGGCCAAGGAAAGAAGTGGGCTCCCTAGCCCTCCTTCCCCCAGGCCAGGGGAAGACAGTCTGAGGCAGGGGTGAAGGCTACCCATCCAGCAGCTTTAGGATGCTCTCACGTTCCTTCAGAGTCTTCCAAGCCTGGTCCTTCTCCTTCTTGGTGGGGGTCCGCTTCTTCTGCCGGGCAGCCATGATCTTCCGGAAGGCATCCATGACCTCATTGTCTGCCATGCGGACCCGCTGTCTCAGCTCCTGCCGGCTTACTTCCTCCTTTGCCAGCCTGTAGGGACCAGCCAACCAAGGTGTCATGGGAAGCCCACCTCCATAGTGGGGTCCCTCTCCCTCTTCCAGACTGAACCCACCTACCACCCCAGGATGGCACTCCTGTGGGCTGTTTCATACCAAAAAGCAAAGTTACTGACCCACACTTCTACGATACTATGTGCTAGTTACTACCTTAAGCCCTTCAAATATGTCAGCACAGTTAATCCTCATAACAGCCTTGTGAGGTAGGTACTATTATTCTGAAATTACCAGTGATGAAAGAGGTCAAGGAGAATAAAAAACACTCCTAAATCCTACAGCTAGTAAGTAGGAGATCTGAACTAAGGCAGGCTGGCTCCACGCAATCATCTTTAAAAGGTATTCTAGTGTTAGCAGAAGACCTGCTGACTTCAGTATCCAAATTCCAGAGCAACCTAAGGGTCTAGGCACCCTGAGTGGGTGAGATGCCAAACCAACCCCTGTAAATGAAATCTGACCTATCAATTCCACTGTTGGTGGAACTGGAAGGTGGCTTAGAGATGTGATCTAGTCCAACGTGTTAATTTTCCAGAAGCGGAAGCTGCTGCTCAGGGTAGGAGATACCTTGCTTAAGGCCCTGGAGCTGGTCAATAGCAGAGCTGAGGACTGGATTCTAGGCTTCTAACAACCCAAGCTAGTTCTTTCACTGTCCACTACCTTTTTTAGAAGTTTGTTTATTTGTTTATTTTTAATGTTTTATTTATTCTTGAGACAGAGACAGATAGAGCATGACCGGGGGAGGGGCAGAGAGAGAGGGAGACACAGAATCCAAAGCACCATCTGAGCTGTCAGCACAGAGCCCGACGCGGGGCTTGAACCCACAAACTGTGAGATCATGACCTGAGCTGAAGTTGTACACTTAACCAGCTGAGCCACCCAGGTGCTCCAGAAGTTTGTTTGTTTGTTTGTTTGTTTATTTAGAGAGCACGAGAGAGCGCATGCGCACTCGAGTGGGGGGTGAGGCAGAGAAATAGGGAGAGAGAGAGTCCTAAGCAGCCTCCACACTGAGCTGGACGTGGGGCTCAATCTTGTGACCGCAAGATCATGACCTGAACCAAAATCAAGAGTTGAACGTTTGACTGAGCCACCCAAGCACCCCAGTGTCCACTACTTCTATATCTGCACATCTTTGTTTCTCCCGCTCATTCAATCTTTCTCTCCTCTCCACCCCACTCAGTATCTCTTTCACCTGTTATTTTTCCTCTTCTTGTCCTTGCATGAAAGGGAACTAGAAAGAGGCTTTGCATTCAGCCTTGGGCTCAAGTTGCAGCTTGGTTGTTGACTGGCTGTGTGGCCTTCAGCAGAGTACTCACTTCATTGGCCCTTCACTTCCTCATCTAGTAAAGAGGTGAAATACCACCTACCCCCTGGACTGTAGTCCAGATTAAACAGGAGGATAAAGTCCCTGGCACACAGCAGGCACTCAGTAACCCTTATCCTTAAGCACTCCCTTAGCAGTTTGTCACCAAGCAGTTCCCTCTCCTTTTAATGGTGCACCTCTTTACCAATTACCTGCTTGTAGACCACAAGCCATTTGCTGTCCCTCTTCCTAGCCCCCAGTACAACGTGTAAGAGACAGGCAGAGCTGGCCAAATGCGTGTGCCCTGCCCGTTGTGGCTCTGTGAGGCAAAGACATACACCTGCCCGTGAGAAGCAAGGAGGCTCAGTTGGACGACTTCTCTACCTCCCCTCAAAAAGGGCAACAACTACCATATCTCCCTCCAGAGATCACCTATACTTTTGTCATGACCAATGCAGGGCAAGATGGATGGGAGTCAAAATGAAATGAAAGACATTCTGACTAATTTCTTAAAGAACTGATCCTAAAACAAGGCAATTTCCAGTGAAGAGCCAATAATATTCATGGATGTCCAACAAAATGTTAACAGTTGATAAATCTAGGTACAGAGTATATTGGCGTTTACCATACAACTCCTTCAGATGTTCTGTGTTTATGAAATTTTTCATAAAAATGTTAGAGGAAAAGAAGATAAGCATGAAAAGATTAAAAAAATAAACCATGCGACAATGTGAATATAGGTAATACCACTGAAATGTACTTTTTAAAATGGTATAGAGTCAATTTTATGTGTTTCTTTCACCACAATTATAAGTAGGTAAATAAATAAATCACAGATGTCTGAGCCTTAGAGTCTGTGGTATCTGGCAATATTTTTTTCAAGGCTCTCCTGGTGATTTAGAGGCCCTCCCAGGGAAGCCTATTGTAAAGCGCCCAGAAGGTGACCAGCAGCGACCAAAGCCTTCTCAGCCACTCCCAGGCCCGTGCATCCCATCCACACTAACCTCAGCAGGTCATGCTTTTTGGTGCGGTTGTGGGCACTGAGCGCCTTCAGCTCGGCCTGCCGTTTGCGCAGCTCTGCGAGGACCTCATCTTCCGAGTCCTCTGCGGGGCGGTCCTCAGACTCCAGCAGACCCTGGGCGATCAGCTCCTCCTTGATGCGGCTCTCCAGGGACTTGGTATGTGGTACACTACAGGAAGGTAGCGCTTAGCTCAAGGGTCAGCTTAGAGGGGGGACCCGAAAGGTTCCCAAGGCTAGTGACACATTCCTTTCTCTTTGGGCACTCCCTATCTATCTAGGTATAAAAATATAGAGAAAATGTTACGAGCTGGAACCCTGAAACTCCTAAAAAACCTAGGAGTAAAGCTCCTTGACATGGGTCTTGGCAATGACTTTTTGGCTGTGACACCTAAAGCACAGGCAATAAAATAAAAAACAAGTGGGACTACATCAAACTACAAATTGCTTCTGCACAGCAAAAGAAATCATCAACAAAGTGAAGAGACAACTTATGGAACAGGAAAAGATATTGTAAACCATGTATCTGATTAGTTAATATCAAAAATAAAGAACTCATATAACTCAAAAGCAATAAACCTGCCCAATTAACAAATGGGCAAAGATCCTGAACAGACATTTCTCCAAAGAACATATACAAAACACCAGTAGATACGTGAAAAGATGCTCAACATCCCTAGTTAAGGTTATCTTGCACCCCCATGTTCACTGGGGGTGCATTATTTACAATAGTCAAGATATGGAAGCAACCTAAATGTCCATCAATGGATGAATGAATAAAGAAGTTGTGGAATGTATATATACACACACACACACAATGCACACATTCAATAGACTGTTATTCAGCCTTATAAAAACAAGGAAATCCTACCATTTGTGACAACATGGATAGACTCTGAATGCATTATGCTAAGTGAAATAAGTCAGAGAAAGACAAATACAGTATGATCCCACTTATATGTGAAATCTAAAAAAAAAGTTCATAGAAAGAAATCAGACTTTTCATTACCAGAGGAGGAGGGTGGGGGGAAGGGAATTGGGGGAAGGTGGTCAAAAGGTACAAACTTCTAGTTATGAATAAACACTGGGATATAATATGACTGTAGCTGACACTGTTGTATGTTATATACAAAGTTGTTAAGAGTGTAAATCCTGGAGGGGCGCCTGGGTGGCTCAGTCGGTTAAGCGGCCGACTTCGGCTCAGGTCATGATCTCACGGTCCGTGAGTTCGAGCCCCGCGTCGGGCTCTGTGCTGACAGCTCAGAGCCTGGAGCCTGTTTCAGATTCTGTGTCTCCCTCTCTCTGACCCTCCCCCGTTCATGCTCTGTCTCTCTCTGTCTCAAAAATAAATAAACGTTAAAAAAAATTGAAAAAAAAAAAAAAAGAGTGTAAATCCTGGAGCGCCTGGGTGGCTCAGTCAGTTAGGCATCCAACTCTTGGTTTTGGCTCAGGTCATGATCTCACGGTTCGTGAGCTTGAGCCCCACATCAGGCTCTGCACTGACAGTGTGGAGCCTGCTTGAGATTCTCTCTCTCTCCCTCTCTCTGCCCCTCCCCTGCTCCCAATGTCTCTCTCAAAATAAATTAAAAAAAAAAAAAAAGAGTGTAAATCCTAAGAGTTCTCATCACAGAATTTTTCTTTTCTTTTTATTGTGTCTATGAGAAGGTGGATGTCAGCTGAACATGTTGTGGTGATCATTTCACAACACACGTAATTTACACATGTAAAATCAGACCATGTACGTGTTTTGTACATTGTACATGTATACCTTAAATTTATACAAGGACGTATGTCAATTTTTTCTCAATATTTTGGAAAAAATACAGAGAGACACACATGGTCTTATTTCAAACATAGGCCAACACATGTGAATTGTAAAAAAATCTAGAAAAACCTATAATGCTAACAACTCAGAGAGAACCACTATTATTTACGTCACTATTATACACATTACTGTTATTTTGCTATTATTAACATTCCACATATAAAACTGTGTTTTATTAGGGGTGCCTGGGTGGCTCAGTCAGTTAAGTGTCTGACTCTTGTTTTATTAGGGGTGCCTGGGTGGCTCAGTCAGTTAAGTGTCTGACTCGTGGTTTCACTTAAGTCACTAATTTGTGGCTAGTAAATTTGAGCCTTGCATCGGCTCCATGCTGTCACTGTGGGGCCTGCTTCAGATTCTCTCTCTCTCTCTCTCTCTCTCTCTCTCTCTCTCTCTCTTTCTCTCTGGTCCTCCCCTGCTTGTACTCTTTCTCTCAAGATAAATGAACTTAAAAAATTTTTAAATATGTTTATATTTTGTTATATAATATTTATTATCTATATCCCAGATTTTGTCTCATGTCATTTCCTATCTTTTATATTATTCTAGTTTTCTACATACACACATTTAAATATATGATGAGTAAAAACAGGATCAAACTGTATTGTGCTACAACTTTTTCTTCACTTAGCACTTTAGTGTTTACCTTTTTTCATGTCAATTAACTGTGTTTCTCAAAAACGATTAGTAGTTATAAGTAATTTCATCATATGGAGTTATATCAATTTAGCCAAACAATCCCTTTCAGTTGGACATTTAGGTTGTTTGTGGTATGAACAGGGCTATGATGAACAACCTGTACTTAAGTCTGTGCATGCAGAAATGCTGGGCCAGCATGCACATGTGAAACTTTCACTGGGCTTCATCTAAATGCCCTCAACCTCTCTCTTAATGAAGACCTTCCCATGTTAGGATAAAAGAAGTCAACAGAAGCAGGGACCAGATAGTAGGAATGTGGACAGGGTTGTCACTCACCTGAAGGGCTTGTTCTGATTGCGGGGAGAGGTGCTTGCCCCGTCGGCCCCTGATTCTTTCCCAGACATGTCAGGAATAGGAGAGTCCTCCATAGGGGAAATAATATTTTCCTAGAAGAACACAGAAGTGGGACAGAAAAAAAAAAAGAAATGGGAGGGAGAGAGTAAGAGCTGTAATATTTCCATTTTCTTGCTCCTCCCTGACCTACAGTCAGTCTTCAGTCTTCACAGACCAGAAATATTCTTTCATTGCTCCCATCGCTCTGGAAGCCTTCCCAAACTGATTCCAGGAAGCTCTGATCATTTTAGAAATGCCTCTTTTGTACTGATACCAAAAGAAGACAACACAGAAGAGCAATGAGAAAACACTCAACAACAGTAAAGAGAAGAGCCAAGGTTTGTTAAGCGTTTGGAATGTATGTTAAGCATGTTGTGACAGAGGCTGCTGGCTGTCCAGCTACACTACATTTCCCAGACTTCCTTGTGGTCAGATGTGGCCATGTGACAAACTCTCTCCAGTGGAAAGCGATCAGAAGAGATAAGAGCCACAGCCAGTCATGGCCATAAACCCCATAAACCTTCCTTCACACATTCTTCCTTGCTCTTTTTCTGTGGGCTTGGAGTAGTAATCATACCCAGAATGACCTTGTGCAGAGCAGGTTTAGGGTGGCAAAACCATCACAGATGGGGTCCTTGTCTGATGGGGTGGGGCTGAGATCTCTCCCCTCCCCCACCTCAGCCAACCTGGAACACGTGGCCCAGACTGTTACACGAGAGAGAAAAACACTACTGTGTTTGAGCCAGGGAGAAAACTAAGGCTCAGTGAGGTGAAAGGATGTGCCTAAGGCCAGATAGTGGGCATAAAGAAAGGGACTCTGTATCTGGGGTTTGAATCCTGCTTCTGCTTATTAGCTGCATGACTCCAAGCAAACAGTTCCTTTTTCTGAGCCTCAATCTTCTAGTATGTAACATGGAGCAAACCACTGTCCTTGCCTCAACAAAAGGATGCGTGGAAAGCCCCTTGCACAGGGGTCAGCCCTTAGCCAACATTCAGCAAAAGTAACTGTGGTATAGTGGCTACTTCTGGGAGAGGTTACAGACTGGGGGGGTGGACACAAGAGAGGCTTGTGTAGGATATTGGCAAGCTTTGTTTCTGTTAGGCTATATATACATGTGTGCTCATATATGAAAATTTACCAATTTATACATGTAATATCTCTGCACCTTTATAAATATGTGATATACTTCAAAAGAAAATAAAACATTAAAACAGAAAGCATGCATAATTCTGTCTTGAGTTAGGATGCTCACCTCCACCAGGGCCTGTAGGAGGCGCTGTGTCAGAGCACCAAATGGGCACCCATCTTCGGGCTGTTCATGCTGGGCCTCAGATTTCTTCAGCAGGGCATCCACATCTGAAGTAGACAGAGAAGTGGTACACAGGTGGGCTGAGTTCTTCTGGGAACTCAAGTCCTGGCCTGGTGTGGGCAGGAAGGCGAGGGGCCTACCTTTAGTGTCCAGTTCGGTCAGTGGCCCCATAAGGCCTTTCTTCTTGTCTGCCACGGCTGCTGCCCGGGCCCCATCCTTCTGTTCCTCCAGCAGGTCCTCCTGTGCCCAGCGTTGGGAGTAGTGCTTCCCCAAGGGTGGGATCTGGTGGGGAGATGCCACCCGGCCCAAAAAGGGTAAACACTGGCAAGCCATGCCTGGGGTTGGTAGGGGCTCTCTGCGCATTTTGGGCACTGCCAAAAAGCTCATGATTCGTTCCTTCACTTATCTGTCTCCAAGTACCTACCCCAGGGCTGAAGCCTATGCTTTGCGTAGATGGGAAGAAACAAAGGAGATAAAAATCTATATGCTCACAGTCTGGTAAGGGAGACAGGTACATAATGAACTAAGACACACACAGGGGCCATTATGGAAAATTTCCAAGATACAGGTGCAGAATGGTATGTGTACATAGACCATCTCAAGTCACAGCTATTGTCCCTAGAAAGAACTAGGAAGCTTAGGGTCAGGAGAGGAAATTGTCTTTTGTATTACTTGAATTTACTACTGCCTATATGGACTACCTTTTCAAATAAATTTTTTTTTCAAGTAAGTTTTTTAAAAATTCAAAGAACTGACGTGCTAGCGGTAGGTCAAGGTGCTGTGGCACATAAAAGAGAAATTTTCTGCAAGCAATCTGCAAAAGCATTTTGGTGGAGATAAGAGGAGATGAGTGCTTTGAAGGATGAGCTAGTTTGCCAAGGGAAAAGGAGGAGCATGTACAGAGGCCCAGAGACCAGCAAGGATCCTGTGTGGGCCTAGAGTGAGAGTAAGGTGCTTGTCGGGGCTGGTAAATGCAGCAGTGAGGAGGGGGAATGACTGAGGAAACTGGAGACGGGTGGTGGGTCTGTGTCACCAAGGACCAAACTACTTGGAATCGATCTTGTGCCAAAGAGGAGCCAGAGGAGGCCTGGGAACAGGGCTGTGTCACATCTGATCATGACAGCTGGACTATGGGAGAGTTCTCCCAAACACTTCTCTTATTTTCTACATTTTCTTTGATGGAAACTGTTTTATTTACATCATGAGAAACCTAACTTTTACATACTACAGAAAGAAAAAAAAAAGTCCCTTTGGAGACAGGGAACTGTCTTGACACCACTTGGACAAAAACTGATGAAGTCTTGAATCAAAGCAGAGGGGCACCTGGGTGGCTCAGCTGGTGAAGCGTTTGACTTTAACTCAGGTCATGATCTCACCATTCCTGAGTTCAAGCTCCGACTGAGGCTCTGTGCTGACAGCTCTGAGCCTGGAGTCTGCTTCAGATTCTGTGTCTCCCTCTCTCTCTGCCCCTTCCCCACTTGCATTCTGTCTCTCTCTCTCAAAAATAAACAAACGTTAAAAAAAAAAAAAAGCAGAGGGGATGGAGATGTTGGTACAAAGAACAGCCTCACTGAAGGAGATCCATTAGGATGTATGTGGTGATCATTTGGAGGATAGAGAGAGGAAATAATGCAAGAAGAAAGCTGACAATTAGAGCCAGGGTGCCTGGGTGGGTTAATGCGTTAGATAGGAGGTTGGGCAGGGTGGGGGAAGGAAGAAGATACATGACTTTGAGATCTTTGATTTTGAGGCACTTCTCGAGTCCTCTAGTTTGTCACCATGTCTACTAAGGTCCAATCTTTCTACCTTGTAATGTTCAGCTTCATCTTCTGGTGGTTTCAGTAGTTCTTCTAGTGTGCGTACCTCCTCACTGGTAATATCAGCACAGTAGGGCTCCACCGAAGCCCAGAACCTGCAGGGAGAAGCAGATCCTGAATGGGAACCTCCTGTCCCACCAGCCTCAGTCCCAGACCCCTCCACAGCCTTTACTATTTGAATCCAAAGGCCCCTCTATGTTCTCTGGCCCGGAACCTGTTGGGCGCATCATTCTTGGGGATCCGTGGCACGTCAATTGGGTCATCAGTGAATTCATATTCCTGGATCTTGGGCTGAAGGTTTTTGGATTTGGGCCGTCCGGGGCCAGGGCCAGGCCCATGTCCCGCTTTTCCTTCCAGTTTCTGCTTCTTCGGCTTCCCATGTTTGGGGGGAGCTCCAAGCTCGTGGTCTCGACCCAGCTTCAGGAATCGGCGATCACCTTTCTTATCTTGCCAGTCAGTGAGGATCTGAAATTTACAGAGGACTGTCACTGAGAGGGAGAAAGGAAATGAGAGGACAATTCTTTCTCCTAGTGAAGAATTAGGATCTAGAACTTGAGAAGACTCCAAGGTCTTTTTATTTACCCATCTCCTGTTTAGTAAACTCCTAAGCATCCTTCAAAACTCAGCTCCTTTTCTGTGCCTGCCTCACAGAACTTTATTCATATACTTGTCATCATTCCATTCATTTGTCTGTATTGACTCACCTCTGTATCACCCAAACCACTTACAGTGTTTAGGTCAAACAAATGATCATGCCCTAGTGCATGTTAGCACTGGAATATGCTGGTGGTAACTTTCAGGGGAATGCAAACAAGCCTCCCAGCAAACCTTCACTTCAAATGTCACCACAACTGGGAAGCCTTCTCGACATCAATTACCCAGCTTTTTAGAAGCTATAATACAACTGATTATGCCACAGTCCTGATCAAAAAGCTTCAGTGCACTCCCAGGGATCACAAGTTAACTATTCATCCTTTGAGCTCCAATTAAAAAGGCCTCTTTGTGTCTCTGACACTTTGTACCTCCACTGCAGGCCCAATTGTGTTGTTTGGTCAACCTGGAATGAACAAGATACCTTGTCTTTTCAACTAGACTATAAGCTACTGGAGACCAGAAAACTTATCTTAACTATCTCTGTTCCCCAGGATCTGGCATAGTGTCTGGCCCACGGGGCTGAGGGGATATTTATGTTGTCAACAGAAATGATCAGAGTAGTACCAAATAACATTTGAAATACTCAGTGTCAGACATCAACCGATGTTTTGCAAAAGTATCTCTTTTAATCTTCACAAAAGCTCTGAGGCACCTCCTATGATTCATCCCTGTTTGCAGATTTGGAACTGATGCTCAGAGATAGGAGGCAACTGTCCCAAAATCATATAGCTAGGAAACAGCAACACTAGCAAGTGCTTAGGCCAGGATTCAAATACAGGTCTCCTCAGTCCCATTCCTTTAGTACTTCTAACCATAACCAACATCACCTGTATTTGTCTGACCTCCCTTTCCCTTTAGTTGGCAAACTCCCTGAAGACCAGAAGTGTCCTAATAATTACTTCTAATGACTAGCACCCAAAACATAATGGGGGTTCAGAGGTCAGTAAATTAGAAATCTTGAAATTTATGAGGATTGTGCACATTCTTGTGTATTCTACATGTCACCCGAGCCCAGTTTAGGCCTCTCCTCACCCCTCTAAGCTCCTGTATCTCAAGGCCTCAGCTGGTGGGGCTAACTCAATGACCCATCCCATAACTTGTCACAGTCCACCCTGGTGATATCCTCTCTGTAGGGTATCACCTGGGTTTCAGCCTCGAGAACCCGTAGGCGCCGGCTGGCAGAGGAAAGTAGGGTCTCAAGCTCCAGCTGCAGAGTGTCCAGCTCCTCAATGCCGATGCCATCATCCTCAGAGCGGGCCAGCACTGCCGTGTAGCGTGGACAAACCTTCAGGTGGTCCACAGACTTGAAGTCATGGAACTGCAAGGGGCAGTCCTTCAGTTCACTCATGGCCCAGGATACGGGACCCTGTGGAACTGGAGAGAAGAGAGCCATGGATAGGAGATAAAATGGGACAAGAAAAGTCTAAGAGCTCCCTCCCATCTAGGGACAGTTTCAAGGGGAAAGCCAGGCTTCAGTATCCTATTGACAAGGTCAATGGCACAGCTCCTACTCAGAGAGCCCTTACTGTGCATTAAGCTAAGGGCAGACGTTTTACTGGTTTCTCATTAATTCCTCACCCAACCCCATAAGCAGGGACAATGGTGACCTACACTTTACAGATAAGGAAACTCAGACTCCAAGGATTTTACCTGCCCAAGTTTACCAAGATGCAATCTGAATCCAGGTAGTTTTGAGTCTGTGTCACTAATTACCATGATATACTATGCCCTGTCTTTCTGATGCTCTTCTGTTCTCCACTTGGGTTCTGCTAAGCCCCTGAACTCCAAACATCCATTCTTACAATGTTAATGTTCTCTGTGCCTCCCAGACTCTCCTTGTCTCACCCCTTCCATCTTTGTCCCTTCTCTTTGCCCCTGACAGTGGTTAACAATGTGGGATGGTAAGGGGTGCCTGGGTAGCTCAGTTGGTTAAGCGTCTGACTTTGATTCTGGTCATGATCTCCCGGGTCATGGTTCAAGACCCAGGTTGGGCACTGTTCTGACAGCTTGAAGCCTGGAACCTGCCTCGGATTCTGTGTCTCCCTCTCTCTCTCTGCCCCTCCCCCTCTCGTGCTCTGTGTGTCTCCCTCAAAAATAAACATTAAGAAGTTAAAAAAAAAAAAAGAATGTGGGCTGATAAACAGGACATACCTGGGTTCAAGCCCAGCCTTTTACCATTTCCTATTTACATAGCTCTGATTATGTTTTTTAATCTTCCTGAGTCTCGATTTTCCCATCTACAAAATGGGGACAAAAGAAATCGGAGTCTGTTTCCCCATAAGCAGTCTGAATTTGTAAAATGGGGATCACAATAGTACCTACCTCCCCGGGATGTTCTGAGGATTAAGAGAGGATGCTCGTCAAGAGCCCAGTTCAGTGCCTGACACAGAAGTGCGCCTGTTTAATGTCTGGCCCCTCCCGTGGGTCGCCCCAGTGACTCGCCTTCAGGGTCCCCGTCCTCCAGGGACCCCCTAACGCGGCCCCTGCCCCCTCTACCTCCTCACTGCAGCCTCCTGCAGCCTCCTACGGCCCCCAGGCCGCGGGAGGGGTTGGGGAGTTCCGGTTGGTGGGAGCAACCGCCCCGGAACTGGCTAGGGGCGGGCCCCCTGCAGAAGACGCGCGGGTGGGAGACGCGAGGGAGAGCCCAATATGGCTTGCGGGGAAGGGTTTGCAGGCCGCGAGCGAGCCCACTGCAGGTGGGATGGGGGCGGGGGTATGCCTCGGGCCTACTCTGGGGAACAGCCGGAGGCTGGGGGCGGGGCTCGGCAGCCGGGACCTTAGCCCGGCAGTTAGTTCCGCCGTGCCCCAGGGGCTGCAGGTAGGAGGGGCCCAGAGAAAAGATAGGGGCGCGGAACCGGAAGGAACGAAGAGCTCCTCTGCCTCGCCTTGTCCTAATATGGTGCCCAACCTGAGGCCGGGCTGCACCATTGCCTGACTATGGGGAAAAACAGCAAAGACGACAAGAAGGCCAAAGTCACAAGCGAGAGCTACACTCATAACGGGATAGGCTTGAGTATTGATCTGAAGCTTCAGGAGTCTAAAAATACCGAGGCAGTCCTAGCGGAGAAACTTCAAAAGGACCAAGTGCTCCTAGGCTCCCCCTTCTCCGCTCGGAGCATAGATGGTACCTTCCGGAAGTCCGGGCGGAGACTGAGGTTGCGCGTCTCGCGAAAGGGCTGGCGTCGCGGGGCTGGCCACTTCCGCACTTCCGCTTTCCGGCCCAGCCAGCGCCCGCGATGGTGAGAGAGCCGGGCCCCGGGCCAGGGACCCCCCGCTGTTTTGCCTCAAAGCTCTGGGTCTGGGGGAGATGCGGTTTTGCAACGGAGAGGCCCGGAGCCGAGGGATGCTGTGGGGTGTGGGGGCGCGATGAGGCTGGGAGAAAGAGGGCGGGGCGGGAGCCAAAGTGAGGAAGGGGCGAGCGGGGGACGCTCTCGTAAGATGCAGGCCTTGCAGCTTCATGGTCTGGCTTTTGATGCAGGTGGGGAATTGTGAGGCATGGAGGACGCCGGAAGTGGGGCTGGTGATAGCGCCTCGAAGACACGTAGTAGGCCTCACTGCCCACAGTAGGGGAGCTGAGGCATAGAGTAGGGTCACCTCCTCACCTAGAATAGAACTTCACTAAATACACTGTCCTGTTCTCTCCTGCCTGCTTGACCCACAGTTTCTCAAAGGAAGTGTCTACACTTCCGTATCCCACTCTTCTCCTTATCCCCTGCTTTGCTTCTATCTCACCGAAGTATCTCTTATGCTGTCGCCACCCAGACCTCTTCCTGGTCAGAACTCAACCCGTGTTAGCCTTACCGTAGTCCGTGAGCTCTGATACTACTGATCCCTCCCTTCCTGGAAATCCTCCCCTTTGATAAATGTGGGTGTTCCTGGGAGTTGAGACTGGCTCACCACCTTCCTCTTTACATTTTTCCTAGTGGTACCTATCTAGTTTCTTGGCTTTGGTGACCTTGTGTGTTCTGGTGACTCTTGAATCTGCCTTCCTCGCTCTCTTTTAAGGTTTGCCTGGAAATCTTGATAACACGTTCATAGTAGACCTCCAGATCAAGACCCATTTTTTCTCCTAAACTTGCTTTTCTTTCTGTGGTGCTGTGGCTTTGTGTCTTCTTACCTCAGCTAGAAACCTGGATTTTCTCAAAGTCAGCTTTATTGAGTTATTACATGAGAATACGTTTTATTTGTACAAGGGCAGGTGTCATGAGCCTTGCCCCTTAAAAATTATCCTTTTTAGATTTATCACTTTTGACAAACACGATCATGTAAGTACTGCGATCAAGACAGCAGAATGTTTCCTCAAAAAACTCCCTCACGTCCCTCTGTTATCAGTCCTATCTTCTCATTCCAGCACTGATTTTTTTTTTTCTCCTATAGTATTCTTTTTCCATATTGTCATATAAAAGGAATTCTTCAGTGTGTGGGCTTTTTAATGTGATTTCTTAACATAGTGCACTTGAGATTCATCAATGTTCCGTGTATCAGGAATCTTTCCTATACTATTTTTTGCTGAGTAGTGTTTCCTCAAATGGGTGAACCATGGTTTGGTGGGAGGTGCTTTTTGATTCCGTTATCCTCTACATCTTATGTCAGTCCAACTCTTGTGAGGACTCTCTGCTTGTCCTATCCACCGCCCCAGTCCAGGTTCTCATCACTGCTCCTTGAATAACCCTCTTTGCCTTTTGTCTCACTTCCCTCTCCAGTCCATTCTCTGCAGAGCCCCCATGCAACTGTAGTCATGTAACTTCCTCCTCAGAAAGCCCCAACAGTTCCTTACTACCTAAAAGAAAGGCTAAGCTCAACAGTCTGGCATTTGAAATTAGCCATGAATCTCTAGGCTACCATTGCAGCCTCATCTGCTGAACCTAAAATGCTTCCCCTAGGGGCACCTGGGTGACTTAGTAGGTTAAGCATCTCTTGATCTCAGCTTAGGTCTTGATCTTAGGGTTGTAAGTTCAAGCACCACGTTGGGCTTCATGCTGGGCCTAAAGCCTACTTAGTTAAAAAGGAAAAAAATGCTTCCTGTATACAGCAACACTGTACTCATCGCTACTTCTGGAACTCTTAATGCCCTTTTGTGTTATTTTAACCTTGTTTATGCTATTTCCATAATATTGTTTAGAAAAGGGGTAGCACTGCATTTGTTAGGTACTGAGCAAGGTGCAAGGAATATAGATTTCAGTAAAGGAGACCAGGAAGCTTAAAGTCTAGTGAAGAAGAAATCACCTTATTAAATAAGTATAAAAGATGTCTCATTGTAGATTACAATAAATGCTATCAAGAGGGAAGTCACGAAAGGCCTCTGTAAAGAAGGAAGAGGCCTTCCCTAAATAAGCCAAGATCTAAGGGCTGACTTAGGTCGAGAGGGGGAAAAAAGCCTGCAGGTAGATGGATCAGCCTGTGTAAAGCCCTGAGATGAGAAAGAACTTAGTTAATAATAAGAAACTGAAGATAGGCCAGTGTAGGTAGAAGCTGATCCCTCTAATGGGAATGTCCTTAGTCTACTTTTCCTTGTTGTAAAATCATTCTGATCCTATTTTCATCTTCACGTCCAAACCAGTTTCTTCTGGAAATGTAATTTGTAAGTCTAATTATGTCACATTTCATCCTCCTTTATATCATAGTCACTTTTTCTGTCTCCTCTACCCAGTGGAGCTATTTAAAGGTAGAGATTGTCTTTATGTTTTATTTTTTCCCCCACCCTTAAAGGTAGAGGTGGTCTTTAAATTCTTAGCATCTGGATCAGTGCCTGGCGCACAGTAAACATCCATTGTTGGCTCAAAAGATTGAGAATAGTCCTTCACCTGCATGCCTCTCGACCAGAGTTTCTCAACCTCAGCACTGTTTGGAGTTGAATAATTCTTTTTTGTGCATTGTAGGATGTTTAGCAGTATGCCTGGTCTCTACTCATTGCCAGTAGCTCTCCCACTCCACCCCCAGTCCTGTCAGTGAAAAATGTCCTGACATTGCTGAATGTCTCCTGGCAAGAAAAATGGTTCCCTGTTGAGAACCACTGCTCTAGACTTAGAATGAAATGCACCTTGAAGGCTTACTCTGTTTGGTTCACGTGGTCTGAAAGGCAGGTACTGTCAGTACCGTCTGGCTCCTTTGTAGCTAGTGTGGGGCGGTGCGGGGTGGGGGGGGGGGGGGGGGGCAGTGGGCAGTGGGTTTGCAGAAACAGACTCTGATCCTCCCTTTGGTTTTTTCTTACAGACTGCCACTCTCCGCCCCTACCTGAGTGCCGTGCGGGCCACGCTGCAGGCTGCCCTCTGCCTGGAGAATTTCTCCTCCCAGGTTGTGGAACGACACAACAAGCCCGAGGTGGAAGTCAGGTAGGGCAGAGAAAGGTCAGGGTGGGGATGATGGACTCAGCCCCAGAGATGGCAGTTGTCTGGAGGCTACCACAAAGTCGCATCCTGGAGTTGGAGACAGCTACACTTCTGCAGTTCACTTATTTTGTCTTGTTGCCAGATGAACAATGGTTCCCAATTCACAGTTCGGAAAATAGGGTCAGTGGGTTGGCAGGACAAAACCCAGGGGAGAAACTCCTCTGGAACCAAGATTGCTTGGCACAAGGTGTGAGTTCTCAGAGTGGGGCTGTTGGTCAAGTATCTCCTGTGGCATTACTGAACCCAGTTTAAGGAGAGGGTGGAGAATTTTGTTATCCAAGTTCCCATCTCCATTCTTTTGTAATTTAAAGTTCAAGGGCTGTGTTTCCCTGCCTCCCTGGACTCATCATTTATTTCAGATATTCCGTATTTTGGGTTATTTTCTCTTATCTGATTTATGTTTTATTAAATATTCTGTTTCCCTTTAAAGTTTAATCTGAGACATAACTGAGATAAGCAGTGTTACCACACCAAGTTGAAATGAATTGAATTTAAAAATACTGAAAAGATATTAGCATGCGTCATGTTGTTTTACTTAAAATATGTTTTCCACTAGGCATTTTAATTGCCAGTACACATAACTGTAGATTCAGAGGCATCAAAATGGGAACTGAGCTGAGAGGGGTCTTGATGCCAAATAAGTGAATCATTCGTGAATTGATAAAGGAGACCAAACTGTGTTTTGTTTTTAGCTTGCCCTTTTATCCCTAAGGCAGCCTCTCTCTTCTCATTCCCTAAATGGTGTATGGGTTTGCCTGTAGTTATTAAAATAAGAGCTGTCGTTTGTAAAGCTCCTACCATGTGCCCCGCACTCTGTTAGACAATTGACCCTTTTTGATCTCTCTCAATCCTCGCCAGTGAAATAGGAATCAGTCATTTACAGATGAGGAAATTGAGATTCCAACAGGGTAACTTGTCCAAGGAAAGTAACAGAGGAGACTGGATTTCAAAACCTTTTCGCCCTGACTCCAGAGCCTTGCTCCTTCTGTTGGAGAACACGCTCGCTGGCCCCCATCTTGGAGCACCCCTACTTGTGAGTCTCCTCTTCCTTGGACTCTATGGTCTCAGATAGAAATTCCAGGTCCTGCTGTGGGGTCTCCCTGAGCATTCTGTTCCTCTATAGTACAGAGGCCTCTGTGACATTGTGTTTCAGGAGTAGCAAAGAGCTCCTATTGCAACCTGTGACCATCAGCAGGAATGAGAAGGAAAAGGTTCTGATTGAGGGCTCCATCAACTCTGTCCGGGTCAGCATTGCTGTGAAACAGGTGAGCTCACCACTGAGCCCCTGCCTCCTTAGGAGGCCAGGGATCCTCATCTGAGAGAGCTGTGCTAGATTCAAGGTGCAAAGAAACCCAGGCTCTATTTTCTTGACTGTACCTAGGGAATGATTTGCCAAATTCAGCAGGTCAGTAGAGTAGACAGAACAACCCTGTCTTCTAGGCCTTGCTCTGGATTACAAGTCAGGAAACATAGCAGCCAAGGTCATTGACAGTTTAGTGTGAAGTCAAGAATCATTTATAAGAAAGGGAGAATAAGTCCAGTTCAGAAAAATAAATAGTACCAGTATCAATTTAATAGCTATAACCTCTGAAAAACAGATTTAGGATAAAGAACAAAGTGTAATTTCTTACGTTTTCTCAGGTGATGTTTCACAAGTGTGTGATATTCCTATCACCCTTATAATTATTGCCATATTTATGTATCATCTGGCCAGTTATTTGTTTAATGGATTTCCTTAAATTGACTTACTTTTCTTTATTTAAATTTGTTTGAAAACGAAACTTCGTGCTGTAGTAGAAAAGCAACATCGCTTGACAAGAAGTGGGAACTCCAAAAAAATAAGTTCATTGAAAGAAAACAAAGCTGTTATTTAGACTAGATACTTTTGCCTACAGAAAACTCTGTCCTTGGGGGCCTGCTCTGTTAAAAAGGGAGATTAACAAGTGTTGGGAGGTGTTCAGGGCATACCAGCACCTAGTTGCAAAATTCTTCCATTAGAAATAATGAGAATTCAGCAGAGAAAAACTTTGGGGAGTTTTTGATGTTCATTGCTATTAAAGTGGAGATCACCTAAATTTATTTCTGATAGCCCCACATGGTATATGTCATAGACTTTGGAAAATGCAGCACTGGTGAATTGGGCAGGTGAGGAAGAGTCTGCTCAGAATGTAGGTATGAATTCTGGAAGGAGCGGATAAAAACCTCAGGTTTGCCAGAATTACCTCTCTGGAATGGGCGAAAGTGAGACTGTGATAATGCCCCGTTAAGCTGAAGACGCTCTAATGTTATAGACATTCAGTTGGCAACCAGGTGCTCCACAATTCAGGCAGTGTTTGCTCCCAATGGCAAACCCCACTGCTTGCAGCAAGCCTAGGAGAAATTGAGGTCAAAAGATCAGGGCTACAGGTTTCTGTTAGCCTAGGATGTCAGATTTAGGGAGACCTGTTTATCCTTCACTCTTACTAGGCTGATGAGATCGAGAAGATTTTATGCCATAAGTTCATGCGCTTCATGATGATGCGAGCAGAGAACTTCTTTATCCTTCGAAGGAAGCCAGTGGAGGTGAGACTGTATGACCCACATGTTCATAATACCCAAGGTTCTTCCACCAAGTCTGCTGTCACTGGCCAGGGATTGTTCACAGAACCTGGATTGCTTCTCCAACTGTAGGACAAGCGCTCCCTGAGTTGAGAGTGGGCCTTCATTTTGGCTGGAGTGGGAGTAAGAGGGATTAGAAGCTTAAGAGAAGTTGGGCCCACCTCAACCATGGGAAAGGCAAAAAATATGAGATGCATTGCTCATCTTCCTAGAGCCTTAATGGCAGAAAGGGCACGATGAATCAAATCCTTTCTGAGCTCTGCCACCACTAAATCATTGTCTCTCAAGGCCACAGTTGACATTGGCTCACGTTGTTGCCTGACTTTGTACTTGAGTACTTTCCACAGATTCTGTGCCAAATCAACTTAAAATATCTCCAGTGACTGAGCAGCTACCATGCAGAGCCACATGTACCATCAGATGTGTTGGCCAACCTCATCCTCATCCTGAGCTAAAATCTCTCTTCCTAAAAAAATAAATAAAAATAAAAAAAATAAAATGTCTCTTCCTGCTCCTAGATCTAATCTCTGTGGCCACCCAGAACAAATAAGATTGCTCCTCCACACACAACCAATCCCATCCTTATCCCATAGTGTCTCTTCTCTCTGGTTGATTAGATTCTTCTGTTAGAAGATTTCAAGTTCCTTCATTCTCCCATGACTCATTCTGCATGCAGCTGTTTGTATCACAAACAGCTTTCCAGGGGGTGCCTGACACAAAATTCTCACCTGGGGTCCGTTCCTTGGACCCAGCATAGATACCCTAGCAGAGCAGGTCGGCTGCTGCCTGAAGGACATGTGACTTGGGAGAAGATTGCAGCCAGTAGGAAGCATATAGCTGAGTGACCTTAGAGGACATGGTCAACTAAGTGCCCTGGAAAGCTAATTCTCTCCTGTTTTTTCTCTTCTTCCTACTGTCTTCCTTCCCCAGGGATATGACATCAGTTTTCTGATCACCAACTTCCACACAGAGCAGATGTACAAACACAAGTTGGTGGACTTTGTGATCCACTTCATGGAAGAGATCGACAAGGAAATCAGTGAGATGAAGCTGTCGGTCAATGCTCGTGCACGCATCGTGGCTGAGGAGTTCCTCAAGAATGTAAGTGGGAGGACTTACTGGTGTCCCTACAGAGGGAGGAGGTGCCATGGGTTGAGAACTTAGAATCTGGCAGTAAAGTGGTGCCAGCAGTTTGTATTTCCTGAGGCCTCTAGGACCTTCCGGTGGGTGGCACGTCAGCCAGGTGCCTTGGGGCTGGAGGACCTGAGGGTCATCTTTGTGAGCTGCAGGGCATTTTCTGTATGTGAGTGTCTCCAGGACACCTCTCTTAGTCTCTCATGGAGATTTAGATGCTCCTTTGTACATCTCAAAATGTACACAGTCCTTCTCTGTATCTAGTTCAAACCCCAGGTGAGGCAAGTTAAATCCACATGGGAATTTTCCAGGAATATAGGGCAGTTCATCATAGTGTAATTCCACTTCTCAGACAGACTTAAATATTTTTCTTCAGTGTCTGTTTCTCAGGCTTGTAGTCATGATTACTTTCATGGCTTCAGTCCTCCAGATCCCTCTTTCATTTGTTTGTGTCTTCCTAACTAACTGAAAGGACAACAGTCCTCTGAAGAGGAGGAATTGTTTACACTGAGGAGCTGATGACACAGTTGCTCTAATTTAGATATTCAAGATATCCTGCCTTTTTTTTTCTTCTTCCAACCAGTCTTTGGTTTGTTGACATGTTCTGCTCAGAGTCAACTATGATCCCTAGATGGTAGATTAAGGGTTTACTCCTGGCAGTGCATACAGATCCAGCCCAGAAGGAATTCAGATTCCTAAAAATGGAAATTACGCCTGCTTCCCCTGGGCTTTAATTATACGGAGGGCAGCCAGTGTACAAAGTAGCTGCCCTGTGCATGCAGAGCAGTGTGCTTGTTCAGATCACACAGACTTTGTGTGAGTCCGGCCTTGCTGCCTACTTGGGCATGTTCCTGAACCTCTCAACAAAGCCTCAGTTAACTCAGCTGTGAAATGAGACTGTTAATACGTACTTTTCAGTATGGTTGAGCATTAAATGAGGAAGTATATACAGAGCAGATCACCTGGTTCACAGTAAGCTTTCCAAGTATTGTAGCACCAGAGTTTTATGGCAAATGCACCAGGAGGCCTTTAGGTTCAACTACGAAAGAAAATAGTTCTTGTCCCGATTTATTATTTGGCTTATTCATTCAAGAGTCATTTAATCATAATAATTGCATTTCTGTTGTTTAATCCCTGAAACAATCTTTGAGTCAGGTGTCATCCCTATTTTATAGATGAGTGAACTGGGCTTTGGAAGTCAAATCACCTATCCAGGACCCTCAGCTAGTAAGATGAGAAACCAGGACTTGGAGCTTGGTTTTCAGATTCAAAAATCAAAGATAGTACCATGGCACTTGGCAGGGGTCACATACTCAAGTGCATGCATGGGTCAGGCAGGTAATAATGTGTGTGAGTGAAGTGGGCTATTGGGAACCTGGTAAGCATATGTCTTCTCTGAAGAGGACCGCTACCACAGAGCTCCTGTTCATTATGGTTTCATCTTCTAGCTTGTCAAAAGAATCCCCAAGTCTGGATTTGTATGCAACATCTTGCATATTTTCAAGGTTGTAAACTAATTCCTATCTTTTAAAAATACTTTATGGGCCAGACATTGCTCATTATTGGGCTGGGTTCAGTTTGTGGGCCAATTGGACCACAGCTTCTGGTCTGTAAAATGTCCAGGGCAGTTCTGGGTACCATGAAGGATACCTGAGGTCAGAAAACATTTCAAGGGCCTGTTATGGTTGGAGATCCACCCAGAGCTTGGCACTAAGTACCAGATCCTGGGTCCTTCTACTCTGCTCTTCTGGCCCCGAGTCCTCAAGCGCTTGCATTTAGGCCTCTCATCTCTAAAGAAGGCAACCTCAGTTCACCAAGTGAGGCACTGTGACAGCTTTATAGCAGCCTCCATGACAGGGCTAAGGGGAGCTGGGGAAAAGCCCACCTCACCCTTAATTTCTCTGCCGTGTTTAGTGCTGGGTTTAAGGCTAGTGCCCTGAAGGTCACTGCTGAAGGCTGACTGAATTAGAGCACGTCCCCAAGGTGTCCTGGGACCCAGCCCTTTCCCCCAGAAATCTGAGCACAGTGGCAGCTCTCAGATCAGCCCACCTCCCCAGAGCAGGCCTGCCAAGATACATACTGTAATAACCACCATTCACTGCCTCTTGGTTCTCTTGACAGTTTTAAACCATCTGGCTGGATCTTGAGGCCTTCCCCCTCAGACTCCCCCGTGTCTCTGCAAAGGCATCCTGGAGTTACTCCCTAGAGCGGCGGCGGAGGCAGCAGCAGCAAGCAGCAGCGGCAGAGCGGGGGAGCTGGGTCGGGGTGGGCATTAGATGCGGGAGGTGGGTGGTGTGCTTGCTAGCTGGGCAACAAAGCAGCAGTGGACCTGCCCCAAGGCCACAGGTGCCTGGTCAGGCTGGCTTCTGATGTTCAGTCCCCTGGACTGGGACAGATTTTTTTTAACGTCTTGAAACTTAAATTCTGTGCTTGTAGGAGACTGAAACCTTTTTGTCTTTTTTTTTTTTTTTTTTTTTTTTTTAAACAAACAACCTCCACCTCCAGTGGCTGTGACTGGTCCCAGTGATTGTACCATATTGGTCGCTGTGGGTCTGGGCGGGCCTGGAGCCAGAAGGCGACTATTGTCTCCCTTTCCCAATCACCCCCTCCCCAAGCCCCAGGTGGGGAGGGAGGGAGAGAGGGAAGGAGGAAGGTTTCAGACTCCAGTTCTTTCCCTTGCTGTCTTATTCCTGAGCCTCCTTCGTCCCAGTAGAAGTTGTGGGGACCCTCTGCCAGCTTTCTGAGCTCTACCTGAAAATGGCCACCCAGCACTGGTTGAGGACAAGGGCTGAACTGGTGGCCACCAGCCATGTCCAGGAGCTGGACCCTGAAAGCCAGGTACCTCTGGCCATAGGGGCCACTTTGTGCCCTCCCAGTTGAGAGGGGCCACTGTTTCGCCTTGTCTGTCAGTGCAGTGCCTGTGCTAGAGGTGGAGAGGTGAGTCCTCCAGAGCTTCCTGAGCTGGGGCTTTCCTGCCTGCTCTGGCTCCTCTGCTCCCACGCTCGCTGTACCTTTTCTTATTCTGGTGGATCCCCCCTGCTCCCCTGATTAAAGTCTCTTCTTGCCCCTTTGGGGCTGCATGAGGTCTGTGCACTGTGTGTATGAAAGGAGGGGAGGTGGGGCATTTTCTTCCCAAGACCACATAGCTGGTACTTAGGCCTGGGGGTCCCCATCGGAGGTAGTCTCCTGATTGGCCGACATTATGTTGTGCCAAGGGCCCGCACCCAGAGACCCCATTATAGTCCAAGCACCACTCATTTCTGAAACTGCTCTCTGCCTATACAGAGCTTTGGTCCTTTTCATATAAAGAGCTCAGTTGGGCTAAAAGGTAACCTCAGAGAGATAATAATTCCATTTTATGACTAAGGAAACCAAGGTTCCTTGAGATGTAGCAGCTTGCCCAAATCTCCCAGCTAGTGAGCAAGAGGGTAGACTTCAAATCCAAGGCTTCTGCCTCTATCTGTAATCACTAGCCACGTGTGGCTGTTTAACTTACTACAATTAGGTAAAGCTTTAAATTCACTTCCTCAGTCCCACCAGAGACATTTCAGGGGCTCAATAACTACAAACGACTACTTCCTACCATGTCAGAGAGTACATGCGTGACATTTCCATTGTTGGAGAAAGTTCTATCGGACAGCACTAGACTTTGGTGACTGCTTGAAGTTAAGAAACAACAACAAACACTTGTGTTTGAGTCCTGACTCTCAAGACTGAATTTGTGTGAGTTCTATTTATTCTGTGCTTCAGTTTCTTAATCTATAAAGTGGAGATAATGTAAACAATCTGACACAGTACTTTTCAAATAGGCACTAAATAAACGATAGCTGATCATTCCACCAGCACAGTATCTAAACTGATAATTTTCATTGTGCTAGGCATGGAGGTGGTGGGGGAGAGACCTTATGCCTGTTCGAGAGAGTTGGGGGATGGGTAGTGAGAACTAAGTGTGTAAATTGGTGTATTGAAGTGTTTTCATATTCACAAATCTGGCAGTCTACAGTGGGTGTATTTATGGAAGGGGAGGAGGTTTGGGAAAAGTTTCAGAAGGGTTAGCGTTTGAGCTGAGCTTTCAAAAGAGTTTCTTCCAAATCACCAAAGAAGTCTTGAGGTAATGTTAAAGGGAAGAGGGATAGAGGTGGGAGTAACCTGAACAGCTATCATCCCTTTTATGACATTACCTGTGACCTCCCCAACTGCTGCCTTACAGAATTAGGTGTGCCCTCTGGGGCACATGGCTATGTTCTACCTTTGCAGTAAATGTTAAAGATGCTCATGGTGAAGCTGGATTTTCACTAGAGTATGGCAGCTGCTCACACAACCCTCACAGGACAGCATTGCCAAGGTGAGCCAGCCATTTCTCACAGATCCATCTCCCAGGGTCCAGAGCCCCTAAAACCAGGTTTGAGGCTGAGGAGAAAGAACAGACTGGATGGTCGCCAACAGCCTGCCACTTTCTGGGGGCATTCCTTTTGGGAAGCCCAGTCTCCAACCAAGGGAGGTTGGGAAGAGTGATCTCAGGTTGAGGTTGGCTGGACAGTGAGGTTGAGGATCCACCTTCATTGTACTGGCAGATCTACCCTGTAGTTAACGAAGCTGGGTTCTTAGACCTGAGTACTCTTACTTGGACTCTGCTTGAATGAGCACTGCTGGAGTTTGTACCTCAAATTGCTCCTTTGGTACTTTTGTGCCTAATAGGTAACCCATCTGAGTGATAATGTGTACTTATGTTAAATAAGAGTGGGGTTTTGGAGTCAGACCGGAGTTCCATTGCTGGCTGTCCTGTGTGATTTTAGGCGAATTAACCTTTTGGAGCCTTATTTATGTCACCTGTGACTTTGGAAGATCATACTTTGCCACAACCTCCAAAAAGGTTATTAAGTCTTTGCAGTCTGGAGGGCTGTGGCTGTTACATTTTTTCTGTGGTTGACTCAAACAATAATCTGTTTTCCTATTTCTGAGTTGGTGGTGTGGGGTGGGGGCAAGGGGGAGATTGTGCTGCACTCTGTACTTTCCCATTGTTTCCCCCATATACTGCCCTGGCTTTCAGATCAATCCCCAAGGACCTTACCCTAGGCCCATCCGCCTTGCTCTGTAGATCTGATCCAGTTTCACTAGGCTCCAGCCACACTGGTTGCCTTTTAGTTCCCAGGGAAGGTTCTTACCCTCCTCAGGGCTGTTGCTGAGACTTTCCTCTCCCTGGAATACTATTCCTTTTCCCTAGCCAGCTCCTGACCTCCTTTGCGTTGTGTAGTCTTCAGCTTAAATGTCACCTCTTCAGAGAGGACATCTTTGCCTTCTCTAAACTTTATCCCCTTCCTGGTTTCAGTTTACTGCTTGTTGATTGCCCTTATCATACCTACAGCTGTTTTATTTCTTTGTTGCTTGCTATTTTGTTTTCCCTCCACTGGGCTGTAACCCCCATGAGGTCAGGGGTCACCTCTAGTTTCTTCTTCCAGTCTCCAGCACCTAGCTTGCTGCCTGCATATCACGGTTGCTCTCTATAAATACTGTGGAATGACCCAAACCACAGGAACCATGACCCTGAAGTTAACTGGCAGTGCGGTGCTCTGTGCTTCCACCTTCGGTGAGGTCCGTATTTTAGCCCGCTGGAGGGAGTCCGCAACCCACTACCTGAGCCCTGATTGTGCCCGGGGAATGGTTTCCAGGGCGACAGCAAACAGAGGGCGGGGCCTCGGAACTGAGGGCTACTCTCCAGCCTCCGCTGGGCCCTCCCCTGCGTGGAGGCGGCGTGCTGAGGGAGGCGGGCTCTCGAGCGCCGGGACAGCGCTTGCCGTGAGCGGCGCATGCAGGGCCCCGGCGCCTCCCTGCTTCTGAGCGTGGGGGAGCTGGGGCCGCGCCCCGGGGTTCTGCTGCCTGGTTCTGCCGGGAGGGCGGCCCGGTGTGCAGCTGGCGGCGGAAGCCGCACCCTGCGGAGTCACGCACCAGAACCTCCGCCCCATGGCCGTGTGCGCACCACACCGAGTTCCAGCCTCCCGAGAAGCTGCCGGGACCTGGGCCTGCCTCCGCCCGTCCCGAGGGAGCTCGCGCAGGCCGCAAACGCGGGGCCGGGAGCCCCGCCGCTGCGCGCGGCCTAAGCCGCGCGTTCGAGTTGCCGGCCTACGGCATCCACGCGCAGAGCACCGAGGATCTCTGCCGTTTCAGGTCCCCGCACACCTCGGCCCTGGATGATGCCCAGTCACAGGAGGATGAGGCCCGTTGCGGCCTGCCCATCCTGGTCGGAGGTGGTGGAGAGGACGAGACGACTTGGGGTGGGGGGAATGAGGGGTCGGGAGAAGTGCGGAGTGTGGGTATACGGATGAAGGGTGGAGAAAGGAGTGTGGGCGTCGGGAGGCCCGGAGAGACGCTAGGCCGAGCTCCCAGGCTGCCCCATGCCCACTCCGCATCTTTCTGCAGGTTCCCTTGTCCTCTGGCGAGGATTCTCCAAGGCGTCTCACCACATGGGCCGGCTCAGAAACGCCAGGATCCACGTGGAGAGAGCTGTCAAGGTCGGAGGGGGCTGGGGGGTGTCTAGAAAGGGCCCTGAGAATGGCTTAATCTGCCTCTCCGAACTGTATTCTTTCATTCTTTAAAAACAAACGAACAAAACCAAAAACCTTGATCCCACACCCATCTTAAAATATTCCCAATTCTTCAGTACCCCTTCTTTGTGGAATTGTCTAACTTAATTACCTGGGATTCACCACTCAGTTCTTAGCCTCTGGTTTCTAGCCTTAACCCACTCCCATCCGTCCCAGTCACTCTGACCTCCAAGGAGCCAAATCCAACAGCCCCCTTTCTGTCTTAATCTTGGTCTGGTACCTTGTGTCACTCTACACTGCTGCCCCACATACCCTTCCCCCTTGGCTGTCTGCACACCCCTAGTTTTCCTTTCGCCCTCCCTGGCTGCTAATTTTCAGCCTTTGAAGGCTCTACGGGGCTTTCCTGGTTCCCTGGATCTCTCTCCACACCGATCTTCTTGGCTTTGGGTCCGGTCAACATGCCGTGCCCTCTACATGCCCTTGTCTCTCTTTTGACTCCACACTCCTTAGATCCATCCCCCTACTTGACATGTCCACCCAGAGAGAATTTAGAAGCATTTCATACCCATGCCCCAAACCATATTCTTGATTTTCCTGCCTAAACGTGTCATCCTCCCTAATCTCCGGTCTTCCTGTCTCCGAGTTATCAAGCCAGAAATATGATTTTCTGTTTGTTCACCCACACATCTAGATAACCATGTTTTGTTCTTGTTTTTGTTTTTAAGTAAACTCTCTGCCTAGCATGGGGCTGGAACTCACAACCCTGAGATCAAGAGTTGAGTGCTGTACTGACTGAGCCAGCCAGGCACCCTGCTTACCTACTACACATCTAACCCCATGAGCAAAATCAGTCATGTGTATTTCCAAAGCGAGTCTCCACTCTGTCACCTTCTCCACATCTTCACCCTCATTCTAGAATGCTATTGTGATTTTTCTCCTGCCCAAACCACGACAGCCTTCTAACTGGTCTGCCTGGTCCCCTCTCCTACCTACCCCTTTCCCCTCCATCTGTTCTCTGTATAGCCGCAAGCCAAACTTATTAAGCCTCCAAGCATATCACGTCCTCACTTTGCCTTTATTGCTTCATGCTACCCTCAATATAAAATTCAAGTCTGTTCAAGGCCTGCAGGCCTTCCTCAGTCTCCTGAAGCTACCACTACCTGCTTCCTTAGGAGCTCTGCCCTCATTTTCCACACCCTATCCTCCCTGGCTTCCTTCCAGTTTCTTCTGATCTCTGTTCAGCCTCAAGACCTTTGTACATGCTTTTCCCTCTGCCTGAACTGCCGTTTGCCTAGTTCTGTACACTCCTTCTTACCGTTCCCATGTATGTATTTCTAGTCTCTCTAGGTCCCTTTTGAGCATCCAGTTTTGGGAAGCAGCCAACCTGGATTTAAATGCTTTTTCACTTAATTACTCTGTGGCCAAACTATTCAACCTCTCTATGTCTCTGTTTCATAACCACTTAAATAGGGATAATAGCATCTATTAAGAATACATATTATTAATAATACATGTAAGCTAAGCAGTGCATAGTAGGTGCTCAATAATTGTTAGCTATTACCATTATAATTATTACTATGCATATTTATTTCTCTTTGTGTTTATAATTTGTCTCTCCTATTAGAACATAAACATTTCCTGAAGGTAGAAACCAGAACTGTCTGGTTCACCACTATATCCCATATGTTTGGCACTTGGATGATACTCACTGAATAAGTATCCTTCTCTCAACTTACAGCAGAAGAAGATCTTTATGATCCAAGGCCGCTACCCAGTGATACGGTGCCTCTTGCGCCGGAGAGGCTGGGTGGAGAAGAAGATGGTCCATCACTCAGGCACCACCCTGCCGCCACCCCAGAAGGATCTGGATAGCTCAGTAATGGGTGATAGTGACACCACTGAGGGTGGTGAGCCATTCCCTCCCTTTCCACAGGCTGCCCCTCCTGAGTCCCTTTCCTTTGGTTCCCTCTATCCCAGGGTTGAGACTTTGGTATGGGCCTATGGAGCAGGGACAGGGGCCTCACCAGGCCTGGGCTCTGCATCCACAGAGGATGAAGACGAGGACGAGGCGTTTCGGCCACCACAGCTGTTTGACTTTGATGATTTACTGGAATTTGATGATCTAGATGGGACACATGCTCTGATGGTGAGGGCCCCGGGGGCTGGCAGTGAGGGACTTAGAGGGAGAGCAGTAGAGTCCAGCTGGGTCACCTCAGAGAAGTCCTTTCCTTCTCTGGGCTTCAGTTTCCTCATCTATAGTAAAAACTGCTTCTATAAAGCCTGGATGCGCCAGCAGAGTGGTGAGGGACACAGTGGGGCTCAGACAAGGCTGGCCTGGGATCAGAACTCTGCTAGGTTATAAGCCAGCGTAACCTGCCCACCTAGTAATTCCCCCTTCCAAATAAAACCCCCTTATTTCACATCTTTTCTCTGCCCTTGGCAAGCGAAGGCTGGAAGGAAGTGCCTAAAAAGCTCTGAAAGGCACTGATATGATGGTATGGAGGTGAGGACACCTTTGTGTTGAAGTGAGGACACTTGGCTTTAAATCTTGGCACCACCACTTACTAAGCTGAACTATACCAAATTGTCATTTTTTTATGTCAGAAAAAGTTGAACACTGGCAGTTTCATGTGGCTCGAGCCTGTGAGCTCTTAGATAAGTCACTTACCCTGCTTGTGCCTCAGTTCCCTCATCTGTGAAATGGGGATAACAATAGCACCTACTTCATGGGGTTCTTATGAGCATTAAATGAATTGATAGGAAAACCACTTAAAAAAAAAAAAGGCACTTAGAACAGGGCCCAACACATGATATCATTGCCTGTTAGTAATTCTACCTCCCAGAATTGTGGGAAGGATGAAGGAGGTAGAGTCCTGAGAGAGTCTTTGTCACACACTCTGTGCCCATCAGCTTGGAGTCACTGTCCTGTCACTGATAGCCATGGGCCAAAACAAAAGTGTGGCATTCGGTTGTGTGGCTCAGTCACTGCCTAGGGGCACCTGACCAAAGGAGTTCTGCCAGCCAGCCTGCTTTCTGCTCACAAGTGTGTGCCCTGGAGGAAGAGATGTCTCTTCTTACCTTATCCCAAGATGGGGTGTGGGCTAGAGGCCACCTTGGAAGCATACTCTTCTTCTATTCACACACGCACACATACACACCCCCCCCCCCCCCCACAGGCTCAACAGAGTGAGGAGAAGTTTCTCAGGCCTTGTGCTGAGAAACACCAGCCTCCCCCATCTCCTCTGCTCTCCCCAGTCCCGCATGGTTCGGAACGAGATCCCCTATTTCATCTGGACCACTCGGCGGGACGTGTTGGACTGTCAAATCCTCTCCAAGGATCAGATGATAAACCACTATGCCCGGGCTGGCTCCTTTACCACAAAGGTGGGTTCCCCAGCGGAGAGGGCATAGCAGCTTCTAACCGACTAGTCCTTGGGCTGGCAACCCGACTCCCTGCTTTCCTTGTCAGTAAGAGTTCTTAGGAGGTGGAGAGGTATATAGTTCAGTGAAATTTGGAGTCAGGCAGGCCTGGGTTCAAATCCAACCCCTGCAGCATATCTGGCAAATGTACACATAATGACTAAGATAGATTCCGGGATCCAAACAGCATCTGGAGCCAAGAAAACACCAAATCCAATGACTGTAAACAAGAGACCCCTTACCAGTTAAGCAAGGGGTATCTGGCTGATGGTTCCATTCGATCTTACCTGGGTTTATTAACAAGTGTTTTCACCTCTCTGAGCCTCAGTTTCCTCTTGTTTATTTTTTTATTTTTAATTTTCATTTTTATTCTTCATCCATTTTTGAGAGAGAGAGAACATAAGCAGGGGAGGGGAAGAAGGAGAGGGAGACACAGAATATGAAGCAGGCTCCAGGCTCTGAGCTGTCAGCACAGAGCCAGATTCAGGGCTTAAACCCATGAACTGAGAGATCATGACCTGAGCTGAAGTCAGATGCCCAACCCACTGGGCCACCCAGGTGCTGAGAATACCAATACCACCTATTTTGTAGGGTTCTGGCAAGAATGAAGAGCTTTATTATTAGAACCTACTAGTATGTTATTGGTGCGGGCTGGGAAGATATCCTAAAGGAGGCAGGTCTTTAAGAATGTGAAAGGATGGGGACACTTGGGTGGCCTAGTGGGTTAAGCATCCAACTCTTCATTTTGGCTCAGGCTTGATCTCACAGTGCTGACGGCTCTGCTCTCTCTCCCTCTGCCCCTTTCCTGCTCATGCTCTCTCTTTTTCCCTCTCTCTCAAAATAAATAAACTTAAAAAAAAAAAGAATGTGAAGGATGGATAAGAAGGATATACGGCATTCTTGGCAGAGCAAACTGCATGGGCATACATAAGGAAATGGATGAGTGAGTCAGGCCTATCAAGTGCAGCAGAGGCTCTGAGAACATTTAAGCAGGGTCTCCCTGAGCTGTCTGGGCATGTGGCGATTGTGGGAAGTCCCTTGAGGTGCTCTGGGAAAGTCCCACTGTGCCCCCTCAGTGGCTAACTTCATAGGTGGGTCTGTGTCTCAATCTCCGGAATTTGCCATGGTTTGATGAGGCTGATGCTGACTCCTTCTTTCCACGCTGCTACCGCCTGGGTGCTGAGGATGACAAAAAGGCCTTCATAGGTAAGGAGATGCCAGCCCCATTCCTGGACCCCCAGGCTAAACCCTGGTTCATGTTAGAGAGCAAAAGGCCTCTCTTTAGATGCTCTCATTCACTCCAGCCGACTTCCTTCTCCATTTCCAATCCTTATCTTCCCTAATGTGACTCCCATAATGAACTTCCTAGCTTGGTCAACCCAGACCTCCAGAAGAGCTCAGATAGCTTAATTTGTATTCTAAAGCAAGTTCTCAGAGTTGGTCGATTGGTTGAGTTTAGAGTCCACTGTATATTCCAGGCCTGTGGCAAATTCCACTGGGTAGATTGGGTTCCAAATCTAGAAAAGGCTGTGGACTTTGGACTTCTAAGGCAGAGTAGTTTCCGACTTCAGAACATGTTCCAAGTTCAGGTCAGAATTTGGGTTCAGATTAGATGCTAGGTTTAAATTCATCTCCAAATCTGACATAGGTTTTAGGCTCAGGTCTGGTTCTCAGGCTAGAATAAGTGTCAAAAGTGTATCGGAAGGAACAGAAGGGGAAAATGAGACAACAGGTCTAGGCAAGATTCTGAAGGCAGTATATATACCACATCAGATTCTAGGCCTGGATCTGCAACTGCAACAGGAGCCAGGTTCTAACCCCAGAGTCTAGAGTCAGAAGGTAGTTAGGTTCTGGATCCAAAATGGGGCAGGTTATGATCAGGTTCCGGAACCAGAACAGGCCTGAGCCTAGGGGCTGAGCAGGGTATCCCCTGCCCCGGGAGCAGAGGACTTCTGGCTGACAGCTGCCCGCAACGTTCTCAAGCTGGTGGTGAAGTCCGAATGGAAGTCGTTCTCTATCCAGGCAGAAGAGGAAGAGGCCCCAGGTAAGTACTATGGTTACCTCCACTCCCTACCTGTTTCATTTATCCTTCCACCCATCCATCCATGTGTTCATCTACACATCTGTCTATGTATTAGCCACATCCATCTGCCCCTCCCCATCATCTTTCTTCTTCCCACCCACCATCCATACATGTACCCACCCACTTGTCCATCCATCCATCTACTCACCTGTCTACCTGCCTAGTCCCCCACCCCCACCCACTGAGCTCACATTCACCCGCCCATCCATTTATCATTCATTTCCACACTGTTGATCTACTCATTCACCTACCTTCTCTCAGCTCCACACTCCTTATTGATCCATCCTCTCCTCTACCTACCTTCCTTCCCATCCTGCCACAAACTCATCTACCTATCTACCCACCTGCTTTTCCATTCTCCTATCCACCATCCATGTATCCTCCACTCCACCCACTCATCTGTTCTTCTTTCCCAATCACCCACCTGTCTTCTGATCCACTTGTTAATTAATCCACTGCATCATCCAGCCATCCCATGGGCCTGGCATGTGGCCAAGCAGTATAGAGAGGACAGACTAAGAAGACATGGTCCATCCCTGCCTGTGGGGAGCTCAGGTCTCGGATGAGGAAGAAGCAGTGAAACCATGTACTTTTATGTGGTCTGAGGACCCCTTGTCCCTTGTGGCAGGGGGCAGGGGTACACAGAGAATCCCTTACTGCATGTTGGCTCAACCCATTGCCTGCCCTTTCTGTCTCTGAACTTAGTTCCTACCTCTAAATGTCCATCCTATTATCCAAGGGCCTATCAGCCATGGATTCAGGAAAGTAGGGGGCAGCTCTACTGGATAGAGGAAAATTCCTGCCTCTTCCAGAAAGAGTTCTCTCCATTGCTGTCTCCTGGGTGTGTCAGGTGAAAAGAAGACTTGTGTGCCAGGATCAGGGACACAAGGGCCTTATGTGTGTCAGAGGTCCCATGAACAGAGAGGCTACAGGTGTGTGCTGGGGCTATATCCTGAGAGGCTTTGGTGCATTTAGGGTAGAACCTCAAGTGAATAACAGGTCCTGGAACAGTGGGGCCAAGGGTGAGTACTAGGGTCACGGGTGAATTTAGAACAAAGCCTCAGGTAAGTGACAGGTCCCGGGACAGTATAGGGTACAGGTGTATACTGGGCCTAAGGCAAATGACAGGCCTTAGAGCATTGGAGGCTGTGGCATATGTCAGGTTATGTGCCTTGCGTGTCAGATAGTGACAGGCCCCTTTCTGTCTTCAGGAGACAAGCAGCCCAAGAAACAGGAGAAAAAGCCAGCGACAGTGTCCCCAGAGTTTGTGGATGAGGCTTTGTGTGCCTGTGAGGAGCACCTTAGCAACCTGGCTCACATGGACATCGACAAGGGCCTGGAGGCGCCACTGTACCTCAGCCCTGAGGGCTGGTCCCTCTTCCTCCAGCGCTACTACCAAGTGGTCCAGTGAGTACCTCTGCCGCAGGGCTGCGGGATGGGCAGGTTCCCCCTGGCCCTCAGGGGGCTTCTGTGTTCTGAGCTGATGCTCAGAGATAGACTCTCTCCTCCCCAGGCCTCCCACTTTTGTTTGCCCTGCCTCTACTGTTTCAAGAACCCTCGGGGGCTCCCACTGCCTTCATGACAGGTCCCAAACCATTCTTCCTGAATCTTGGTTGACGTGCCATAATTACTGAGATCATGGCCTGTGCTGTCGGATAGTCTTGACTTTTAGCACCTTCCAAGCTCTTTGGCCTTGGCAAAGGTCATCTCTCTGAGCTTTACTTTTCACATGCAAAATAATGTCTGCCTCCAAGGTAGGATTAGACAGGATAATTTGTGTTATGCACTCAGTGTAACTCCCAGGATTCATTCACAAAATGAGAGTCTGTCAAGTCATTTGGGATTTATCCTGGAGGCCAGTGTTTCCCAAAGGATGCTCCATAGGATGCTTAGCTCTGTGGGACCTAAATCGATTTGATGAAAGAAAGGCTTTTGTGGTCAGTTGCATTTGGAAAACATCAGGTTAAACAAAGTTAATGAATTTAGGCTTCCTTGATGCAAGACTTTTCAGAACCTGTGGGTGATGTCAACCTCCAAGAGACAGACTGTACACTATATCCTATACTTTTGTGACCCCAGCCCCCGCCCTACCCCAAGCATCCTGAGGGGTTGTGTTCTCAGAACACACTTTGTAAAAAGTTCTCAATCAGAGGAAGGGAGTTGAGTTGAGACTCCCTCAGAGTTGAGACTCTGAGGAATTCGATTCAGCAGAGGTGTGCAGGAGAGAGGAAGGGAGAAGCGCCCCCAAGGCAGGAGGGCACCCAGCATTTATTGAGCGCTTCCTGTGTGCCCAGCATTGTGCCAGTCTCCAAAAATGAAGTGTAGTCCCTGCCCTCAGTGGGTGTACAGCTCAGGTGGGGAGGCTTGCAGCAAGTCAGGTGGGAGTGCTAAGGGCCTCAGCTGGGGTGGTTTTAATAGAAAGGAATGGGCAGACTTAATGATTTTGATAGGGGAGACTAAAGAATTAATAAATGAACTTAGAATGAATGACATACTGAGCAAACCTTCATTATTGATAAATAATTCATTTGTATCTGTTTTAAATGTTAGAAATTAAAAACTAGGTGACCCTATACTACCTTAACTACCAGATAAGTATCAGAAAAAGCCCCTCCTTCTTAAACTAAGAATTCTCAAGACTAAGAACATTAGAACATGAGTCCTTTGTATTTCTAGATGTGAGGTAAGTTCTAGAGAGCCTTAGGCACTTCTCAAAAGTTGGGATTATGTAAAATTTTACATCATATAAGGGTGCCTGGCTGGCTCAGTTGGTGGAGCATGCAACTCCTGATCTCAGAGTCATGAGTTCAAGTCCCATGATAGAGCCTACCTTAAAAAAAAAAAAAAAAAAAAAAAAAAAAAGGTTTTGGGGTACATGGCTGCCTCAGTCAAATATAAATGCTGTTAAGTGGTTCACTCACTGAAGTTATGGATAGTTAGCATTCATTAATTTATGCAGTACTTATGGCTATGTTTTCAACTGCTTTTTTTTTTTAAGTTTATTTATTTTGAGTGAGAGAGAGAGAGAAGAGCACAAGTAGGGGAGGAGCAGAGAGAGAGAGAGGAAAAGGGAGAGAATCCCAAGCAGGCTCCGCACTGCCAGTGCAGAGCCTGATGTGGGACTCAAACTCAGAAACTGTGAGATCATGACCTGAGCTGAAACCATGAGCCGGTTGCTTAACCGACTGAGCCACCCAGGAGCCCCTGTTTTCAACTTTTTAAAAACACATACATGGCTCACCAGCCAGGCTTTTATCAAGGTTGACTTCCCACAAAAACACCAGTTGCTTTTTTGTTGTTTGTTGTTAAATATAAAAATGGTATTGTTATGTCTAATGTACTTTTTCAAATGACACATGCCCTTGCCACCATCATATGACACTTCCCTGGGCCAAATCACAGGTTTATTAAGCAGATTCCCTATGCCATGGCCCACAGAAAAGTTTCCAGCAAACCCTCTGGAAATAGAAGATTTAGGACTTGAGTGTGAATTTTCCTAAGAGGCCATGCCTAGCCCCCACCATTTGGCTGTCTCTGCTTCTGGTGCTTCCCCATTGGGTGCTGCTGCCTCATTGTTAAAAGAGGTATAAGTTCTTCAAGGCTGCAGACATTCATAAGGCTAAGATGTAAAAAGGCATTAGCATCTAGTGGAAGCTTCCTTCCTATTCAGTCAGAAGAAAAGGAATGGGAGAGTGTGGATGAGGCTGCCATTTAGGGTATTTCATGACTTGGTTTAGTTCAGTACATTTGTGTCTTGTAGAGAACAGAGTCTGTCTTTGTCCATGAACTCTTATCTGCACAGCCCAGTTGCTGAGGCAGGCAACCATTCATCCACTCAACAGACTTGGGGAGTACCTAAAAGGTGTACTGCTGGGGGATGGGAATACAGCAGAATAGTGACTGTAAAAAATGTTCCTGCTCTCATGGAGCTTGGATTCCAGGGGAGGGAGACAGACACAATAACCAAATAAGCATAGGTGTGGAGTGGTAAGTGATGAGACGAGAAACAAGCCAAGATGTGTGATACAGATGTGCTTAGGAAGAATTAGACCAGAAAGGGACCCACCTATCAACTGGTGTTAGGTCCAGGTTTGGAGGAATATGAACTCCAAAAAGCACCTGTGGGTGGAGGGATCATACAGGACAGCATTTGCATCCTGACTCAGCCACTTAACTCAATATGAGGCCTTGGGCAAGTCTCTGAACTCTCCCAGCTTCAGTTTACACAGTAATACTTCCCTGGCAGGGCCATAGAGAAGATTAGTGATAATATATGTGAAACCCCTGGCACCATGCCTGGCACACAGCAGTGCCTCATCATCAGATGCTGGTGTGATTAAATTCAGCTGAAGGCAGTTCTATTGTAACAGAAGGTAGGTTGCAGAAGTTGGAATGTTGGAGTAGGAGGGCGTGTAATAAGTGGAATATCCCCCTTCTTTCATATTCTAGCATTCTCAGATGGCACCCTAGGCCAGTTAGAATTTGGGGGGCAGCTTGAGGGTGGGATGGAGGTTTGGAGGAGACCTATCTGGCTCTCTCGGGGGAGGGTGTGACCTAGGCTGGTTGGACCATGGCCAGGGGGCTTGTGTTTCCTCTTGCCTTGTCCACCAGGCTGCCCCCAGACCCATCCCTGCCCAAGTCCCATCATCTCCCCACAGCGAGGGGGCAGAGCTCAAGCACCTCGACACTCAGATCCAGCGCTGTGAGGACATCCTGCAGCAGCTGCGGGCCGTGGTGCCGCAGATAGACATGGAAGGAGATCGCAACGTCTGGATCGTGAAGCCGGGAGCCAAGTCCCGAGGACGAGGTGGGAGTCAGCCCCTGCTTCCTGCAACAGCACCCTACAGCTTGCGTCTCTAACTAGAGGCTAGGGAGATTAGTAGTGCAGGCTGTGTTGGACCCAAACTGCCTGGGTTTGAATCCCAGCTTTGCTACTAATAGCCTGTGTGATCTTGAGTAAGTTACATCACCTCTCTGAACCTCGGTTACTTCATCTGTAAGGTATGATAATAACCTCCTGTGAGGTGAGGATTAAATGAGGTATTGTGGCTAAATTTCAGCATGGTGCCTGGCACAGAGTAATCACCTCACAAACGTTGGCTGCTGTGATGACGATGTCATCTTCTCTCCTGCCCTCAGAGTTGGGTTAATGCTTTAGGTGTGTCTGATGATACTCATGTGCAGTGGTCTGTCATCTATGGGCTCTCTGATTTGACCAGTGCATCCTTGTGAAGTATAGCACAGTGGTTAAAGTATGGATGCTGAGAGCCAGACTACATCAGGTCAAACCCAAGCTCTGCCTCCTACTGTCTGTAAGACTTGGGGCAGGAGAGTCAACCTCTGTTCTACCTCATTTCATCATTCGGTAAATGGAGCCAATATTACCTACTCCAGAGGATAAGTGAGTATAATATGTGATTTTACATAGTAACTGCTGTATATGTGCCATTATTTTTTATCCTGTCTGCTCAGCCCAACATGAATGGAATTATAATAGGGGAGCCAACAAGCTGGGGTGATGCATTAGCCCAGCCTTAAAAAACTGGTTAAGGACTCATGAGATGTGGAAAACAGACTTTTTGCACCAGATCCTCCAGATACTGAGTTTGTTCATGTCCAGGTGAAGCTGTTAAAGTCCAGACACTGAGTGACATCCCCATGTCACTTCAAAACCAGCATCTTGGTCTTTTCTTTTCCTACCTTGAAAATACTTGTGTTGTTTTTTTCTAATTATAAAAATATGTATTTATTATTAAAAAAAGATTAGACAATACAGAAATATAGAAAAAAGAAAGCAAAAGCCACTCTTGATTTCACTGAGATAACTATATTAACCTTTTGGTGTGTTTGTTCTATACTTCCTTCCCTGCATTTGGGGAGGGAGAGAGTGAGGGAGGGTGCATGTGTGTGCGCACGTGTGTGTTGTTTTATTAAAATAATTTTTTTTAACATTTATTTATTTATTGAGAGACAGAGACAGAGCATGAGCAGGAGAGGGGCAGAGAGAGAGGGAGTCACAGATTTTGAAGCAGGCTCCAGGCTCTGAGCTGTCGGCACAAAGCCCGATGTGGGGCTTGAACTCATGAGCCAGGAGATCAAGAACCTGAGCTAAAGTTGGATGGTCAACTGACTGGGCCATCCAGGCTCCCCTGTTTTAAACACCATATTATTCTGTAGCCTTCTTTTCTCATTTATTATATCTTTCCATGTCAGTTAGTATAACTCATCTCTTTTTTGCATCTTTCTTTTTCTTAATAAGTTTTGGACTTCATTTTAGTACATCTAGATCTGCTTTTTCTTTTTTTCTTGTTTTTAGCTTACTGTTATGTACACATTCAGGATACACAAAACTAGAGAGAATAACACAGTAAATCCCCATGTACCTAGCACCAAATTTCAAAGTTGTATCTCCATTTTTTAGAAAAGCTGAACTGAAATGCACATGTGATATTCCAATGAAAAGGTGTGAGCATACAACTTGACAAATTGTCACAAAGTGAACACACTTGTGGAAAGTACCCAGATTATGAAATAAAATACCTGTACCCTAGAGGGTCCTTCCTGGACCCCTCTTAGTCTCTATGTCCACAAAATGGTAACCCCTATTCTGATTTATAATACTATAGATTAGTGTTGCCTAGTTTTAGATGTTACATAAAAGTACAGTATGTACTCTCTTATCTCATTCTGTTTCACAGTTGCATACTTCACTCTTGTTTAGATGCGCTGTCATGGATTTACCTAATCCATTTCTGATGGGTATTTAGATGGCTGCCAGTTTTTTTCCTATTTATTGTTGATTGACTGCTGTTACAAGCAACACTAAGATAAACATCCTGTGCAAATATCTTTTGGGCTTAGGATAAATTCTTAAAAATGAAATTGCTGGGTCAATGGACATGAATAGCCTTAATTTTTGGTTATACAAGGCGTTGTATTTTTGGGAATCTTGGTGATCATTCTGGCCATTTGAGAAAGGATCTGGTTTGGGAACTAGACACAAGTTATTCTGTGCCATTGGCAGGTGATCAGTCTGCTTTGGGTGCCAAACAATGAAGGAATGAGATTGACTTGTGAGTATGTATGTTTGCAATGTGATTCTGATATGTATCAGCATTGAAATGATGCCTTTTAAGTATAAGATACTTAATGTCACTTGCATAAAAGAGATAAAATTAAGATAAGGCAATTATTTTCTACCTAAGAGAATGGCCAAAATAATCAATAGTGTTGGGTAGGATGTGGGAAGATACATAATCTCATATACTTTGCTGGGAGTGCAGACTGGTAGAACATCTTTGGTAATATAAAATGAAAAAAATGTACATACCCTTGGAGCCAGCATATCTACAGCTAGAAATTTATTCTACAGGTAACTAATAATAGTGATAGGAGTTAACATTTACTGAATGCTCACCATGGGCCAAGAACTATTCTGAATCCTTAACATGTTTAGTTAGATGTATAGAATCTTATCAAACTGAGGCACGTAAAATCTTCCATAACTTGGAAGGATATCCATTGGACCTGGAAGCAACAGTTGGCTGCCTCTGGGAAAGAAGTATTTTTAATTGTGTACCCTTTGTACTGCCTGCTTTTATGTTTTATATTCTGTTAATTATTGGGAAAAAACTAATCAAAGTCATATGGTATTTTAAAAAGCCCAATATGGTTTGAATTTTTATGCGTGCATATATTGCTTTTCAATTAAACAGAAGTGATTAATTAAAACAATTTTTTAATTAAAAAATATTTTTTAATGTTTATTTTTTTGGAAGAGACAGAGGGGCAGAGAGAAAGGGAGACACAGACTTTGAAGCAGGCTCTAGGCTCTGAGCTGTCAGTACAGAGCCCCATGTGGGGCTCGAACTCACGGATTGTGAGATCATGAACTGAGTTGAAGCTGGACACTTAGCTGACTGAGCCACCCAGGTGTCCCCCCCCCCAATTTTTTTAATCTTTAGCAGATTCTCAGCTTTGCCAAAGAGAACAGGGTTCTGGAGAAGCACTCTTACGTACTTGGCCCTATCAGTTCCATGGTTCCCTGGCCCTTCTAGCCCAAGCCTGACCTGATCCCTGACCACCCTGTTTCCCCCATAGGCATCATGTGTATGGACCACTTGGAGGAGATGCTGAAGCTGGTAGACGGCAACCCCACGATGATGAAGGACGGCAAGTGGGTGGTACAGAAGTATATTGAGCGTCCCCTGCTCATCTTTGGCACCAAGTTTGACCTGAGACAGTGGTTCCTGGTGACTGACTGGAACCCACTTACCGTGTGGTTCTACCGTGACAGCTACATCCGCTTCTCCACACAGCCCTTCTCCTTGAAGAACCTGGACAAGTGAGCCCCATTCCTTGTTTCCTGTGAGCTCCCTGTCTAGCTGGGGAGCTGACAAGCAACAGGTGGTTCCCCAGTGCAATGCTGGGCTCCACACACAGACTGCACACAGGCAGGTCCCCTACCCATCCAACAGATACCTACCAAGTATGTTTTAGCATTTGAGATACAGCTGTGAACAAAACAAGAGCCCAGCTCTGAAGAGTTCACATTCCTGCACATAAGCTGGATATGTATGAAATGTGTCTGCCCATGTCCTACCCAACGCTATTGATTATTTTTGCCACTCTAAGTAGAAAATGGTTGTCTTAATTTTATCGTTTTTAGAACAAGTAATGTTAAGTATCTTATGCTTATAAGGCATCATTTTAATGCTGTTACTCATAGATAAGCAATGAATGTAATAAGTAGAATTATCTAATAGGTAATAAAATGATACATATTATTAAAAAAAGACTGTAGAGCAGGGTCAGGGGGTTCAGGAGAATGCGAGAGCAGAGAGTCAAGTCGCAGTATTAACTTGGGGGCTGAGAGAAAGTCTTGTTGAGCCCTGGGTTCAGATTCCATCTCTGCAGCTTCTAGGCTGTGTGACTTTGGTCAAGTGAAACCTCTTTATGCTTCTTTTTTCACATCTGAAGAATGGAGGCAGTATTATGAAACTCATAGCTGTCGGTTACTGAATGCTGCGTATGTGACAGGTGCTAAGTGTTTCATGTATATTATCTCAGTCATTCATGAAAACCCAGTGAAGTGGGTACTATTACTACCCCATTGGACAGATGTGAAGGAGCACCTGGGTGAAAAGATCTCACAACTAGTCGGTGGTGAAGGTGGGACTTGAGCAGTTTGACTACAGGGCCCATACTTCTAACCCACCTTACCTTCCAGGAGCTGGAAGGGTTAACTGGGACTAATGTACATAATACTGTGGCCCCATAGGTAGTGCCCTCAAAGGGATAAGACTGGTTCTGGCCCTAGAAGACTGTGGTGGCACCCAGATCTTTGTCCTTCTTGTCTACCCTAGCTGAGCCCTATCTCAAGGTGAACAGTCCAGGGTGCCCAGGGCTGGTTCCAGGGTTTGCCTGCCCTCCCCGCATTTGGGTGGGAGAGGCACAGGGAGCCAGACCTCAGCTTTCTGCTTTCTGCCCCAGCTCAGTGCACCTGTGCAACAACTCCATCCAGAAGCACCTGGAGAATTCATGCCATCGACACCCGCTGCTGCCCTCAGACAACATGTGGTCAAGCCAGAAGTTCCAGGTCCACCTGCAGGAGATGGGGGCCCCAAACGCTTGGTCCACCATCATCGTGCCTGGCATGAAGGCTGCTGTGATCCATGCCCTACAGACCTCCCAGGACACTGTGCAGTGCCGGAAGGCCAGCTTCGAGCTTTACGGTGCTGACTTTGTGTTTGGTGAGGACTTCCAGCCCTGGCTCATTGAGATCAATGCCAGCCCCACCATGGCCCCCTCCACGGCTGTCACCGCCCGGCTCTGTGCAGGTGTGCAAGCTGACACCCTGCGTGTGGTTATTGACCGGCGGCTAGACCGCAACTGCGACACGGGAGCCTTTGAGCTCATCTACAAGCAGGTGAGGCTGCTGGGCCTAGGCAAGACCCCAGGGAGTCTGTCCCCTCTTCCACGCATCCCTGTAGTGAAGCACAGGGCACTGTAGTCAGACAGTCCCAGTTCAAGTTCTGGTCCTGCCATAGTGACTCAGTACAGCCACTTTTCCTTGAGCCTCCATTTTCTCATCTGTAAAATCAAGATGCTGTTACCATCTTTCTCATAGGGTTTGGGAGAGTGAAAATGAGTTAATATGTGTGGACCATCCTTATGATCCAGTAATTGCACTAGTGGGTATTTACCCAAAGAATACAAAATCACTAATTTGAAGGGATAAATGCACCGTATGTTTATTGCAGCATTATTTACAATGGCCAAATTATGGAAGTAGCCTAAGTGTCTATTGATAGATGAATGGATTAAAAAAATGTGGTATATACAGTGGAATATTATTCAGCCATAAAAATGAAATCTTGTCATTGGCAACAACATGGATAGATCGATCTAGAGAGCATAATGCTAAGTGAAATAACCCAAGAAGAGAAAGACAGATACCATATAATTTCACTTATGTGGAATTTAAGAAACAAAACAAATAAAGAAAGGGGGTGGGGGGAAGACAAACCTAAAACCAGACTCTTAACTATAGAGAACAAACTGATGGTTACCAGGGGTGGGGGGGGGGGGTGGGATGAGTGAAATAGGTGAAGAGGATTAAGAATACACTTATCTTTTTTTTTTTTTTTAAATGTTTATTTATTTTTGAGAGAGACAGAGACAGAGTATGATTGGCTTAGGGGCAGAGAGAGGGAGAGACACAGAATCCGAAGCAGGCTCCAGGCTCTGAGCTGTCAGCACAGAGCCGGATGCGGAGCTCGAACTCACGAACTGCGAGATCATGACCTGAGCCAAAGTCAGATGCCCAACCGACTGAGCCACCCAGGCACCCCTAAGAGTACACTCATCTTGACGAGCATTGAGTAATATGTGGAATTGCTGAATTGCTATATTGTATACCTGAAACTAATATAACACTGTGTTAACTACACTGGAATTAAAACAAAAAAAAATTAATTGTAATACAACAACAAAAATATACATGTGGATCATGTTTCTAGAGATGCATATAGCAAAATGTTAAAAGCAAAACCTCCATGGCTTCAAATCCTTGCTCAATAACTATGAGCTGTGTGACTTTGAACAATTCCCTAACCCCTAGGGTTCTCCGTTTCCCCATCTGTAAAGCAGGACTGAACGTAATCCCTACCTCATAAGGTTGTGATAATTAAATGAGGACATAGGTAAAGCCCTTCAGAACAGCACTTGAACATCATAAATGCTACATGTTTTAGCTATTATTACTACCTAATAAGGTCCTCAGGTGTCTCATGATAGACGGCATCACTTATAATGCCTGGACATACAGTAAGAGTCAGTTAGTGGAAGCTGCTGCTGTTGTTATTATTGTTGTTATTATTTTATTCCTTGTATAATAATTTTACTCACCTTGTTCCAGAAAGAGATTTGAGTCCACTTATTGGAATAGAATACAGTTTTTAAAAATCAGTCAGAAAACCAATTTCAAGGGTTGCTGAACTCTGCAATTTCTCGTGGTAGTTAAATTCAATATCCTAATTCTAAGTATCGTTCTGATTAGGATTCAGCTTCTATTGGGGCACCTGGGTGGCTCAGTTGGTTAAACGTCTGACCCTTGATTTGGGCTCAGGTCATGAACTGGCTGTTGTAGAATCGAGCTCTGCATCAGGCTCTGCACTGAGTGCTGAGTGTAGAACCTGCTTGGGATTCTCTTTCTCCCTCTCTTTCTGCCTGTTTCCCACTCATACTGCCTCTCCCAAATAAATAAACATTTGAAAAAAAAAGGATTTGGCTTCTATCAGAGTTTGGTCACAGGTAGAGAACATGCTGATTACATGACCCAGGTGTCCTGGTCTTTGTCACAGTTACTGATCATAAATTAATATTGGCATATTGGTTTCAAAAAACAAATATAAGGGCAGGAAAATAAGACAAAACCAAAGGGGAAGGGAACATTCTAGCACAATGGTTCCCAAATGCTGGTTCACAGGCCAAAATCACCTGGCAAGCTTTCCAAATGTACAGGAGTCAGGAAGCCCCACCCCTAGAGACTGTTCTGAAACGTCTGGCTTAGGGACTACACATCTGCATTTTTCAGATGTCCTAGTTGTCCTGAAAAATCTTTCATAGCTTTTTTTGTTTTTGTTTTTAATTTTTATTTATAAAAAAATTTTTTTAAGTTTATTTATTTTGAGAGAGAGAGCACGCACATACACATGTCGGGGAGGGGCAGGGAGAGAGAGAGAGAGGCTCCATGCCCCACATTGAGCCCGATGTGGGGCTCCATCTCATGACCAACCGACCAACCATGAAATCATGACCTGAGCCAAAATCAAGAGTCAGTTGCTCAACTGACGGAGCTGCCCAGGAGCCCCTGTTTTTGTTATTTTAAACCAACATGTGATGAGGATTCACTGTTTGCATTGGTTGTGTTTGTCTTACTTTGTCCTCCTTTTTTCCTTTTATAGATTACCTCACTCAAAAAAGAGAGGCAGAGTAGGAAGTACACAGGAAGCATTGGTCCATAGCCACTCTGAAATCTAGCCTCGCATATATTTCCAGTTTTGCTATTTGGACCATCATTACTTCCTAGGAATTCTCTGTGGCTGTTGCTTTCATCCATTGGGATCTCAGTTCAGTCCTAAATCATCCTTTCCCATGAACCTCAATAGTTCTTAGTCTGTTACCTGCTCATAGAAGTGTGGGAGTATAGAAGCCTCTTTGATTTCATATTGTGTTTGTCCCATTCAGTCCAAGTGCATATTTTTTAAAACTTTGTGGGTTTCTTATGTATGAAGTTATAATCTATTCTATTATACAAAAGCCATATCCACAATTCTTAGATAGCTCTTCTCTCTGTGAGGCTACTGTAGGACAACAGCCCTCACAATTATAGAAGCCCTACTGTTAACAGAGAGGGCCTACAGCCCTGTTAACTCAAAATGTGTTAAAGACTTAAACATAAGACATAAAGGTATGCCCTTGGGATGCTTAAAAGATCTGTAGCTGCTTTAAAGGACTTAGATCTGTCTGAAGTTTTTTTTATTACGTACATGTAATTGACATGCAATATTACATTCAAATATACAACATAATGAATGATTTGATATTTGTATATATTGTAAAATGATCACCACAATAAGTCTAGTTAATATCCATTACCACACATAGTGATGGTTTTATTTTCTTCTGATGAAAACTTAGGAGGTCTACTCTCTTAGCAACTTTCCAGTATGCGATATAGTATTATTAACTATACATCCATGGCTTACTTATTTTATAACTGGACATTTGTACCTTTTGACCCCCTTCATCCATTTTGCTCACTGCCTGTGGCAACTACTGATCTGTTCTCTGTCTCTATGAATTCAGGGGTTTTGTTTCTCTCTCTCTTTTTTTTTTTTTTATTTTAGATCCCACATATAATTTACATCATGAGATATTTGTCTTTCTCTCTGATTTAATTCACTTAGCATAATTTCTGCCCTCAAAGCCCATCCATGTTGTACAAATGGCAAGATTTCCTTCTTTTTATAGCTGAAGAATATTCCATGATAGTAGATAGTCATATTTTCTTTATTCATTCATCCATTGATGGACACTTAGGTTGTTTCTATGTCTTGGATATTGTAAATAATGCTGCAGTGAACATGAAGGTGCCGACACTTTTTCAAGTTAGTAATGTTTTTGCTTGCGTCAGATAAATACCCAGAAGTGGAATTGCTGGATCATATCACAGTTCTATTTTTAATTTTTTGAGGAACCTCAATACTGTTTTAATTCTTATTTATAAAAAAATTTTTTGAAGTTTATTTATTTTGACAGTGGCTGCACCAATTTATATTCCCACTAACAGCATACAAGTGTTCCCTTTTCTCCACATCCTCACCAATACTTATTTCTTATCTTTTTGATAATAGCCATTCTAACAGGTGTGAGGTGATATCCCAGTATGGTTTTGATTTGGATTTCCCTGCTGATTATGACTTGGAACACCTTTTCACGTATCTGTTGGCCATCTCTTTGTCATCTTTGGGAAAAATGTCTGTTCAGATCCTCTGCCCATTTTTAAATAAGACTATTTGTCTTTGCCATTGAGTTGTATGAGTTCTTTGTATATTTTGGATACTAGCCCCTTATCAGACATATGATTTGCAAATATTTTCTCCCATTGGGTAGGTTGCCTTTCCCCTTTGTTGATAGTTTCCTTTGCTGTTCAGAAGCTTTTTAGTTAGATGTAGTCCCACGTGTTTATTTTTGCTTTTGTTGCCTTTGCTTTTGATGTCAAATCCAAAAAATCATTGCCAAGACCCATGTCAAGGAGCTTACTGCCTATGGTTTCTTCTATGAATTTTATAGTTTCAGGTCTTAAATTCACTTTAATCCATTTTGAGTTGGTTTGTTTGTGTGTTACAAGGTAGTGGTCCAGGTTCATCCTTTTGCATGTGGCTGTCCAGTTTTCCCAACACCATTTATCGAAGAGACTGCCCTTTCCCCATTGAATATTTTTATGCCTTCTTTGTCATAAATTAATTCACCATTTATGTGTGATTATTTCTGGGCGGCTCTGTATTCTGTTCAATTGATCTATGTGTCTTTTTTTATGCCAGTATCATACTGTTTGATTACTATTGCTTTGTAATATAGTTTGTAGTCCATAAGTGTGATGCTTCCAGCTTTTGTTCTTCTTTCTCAAGATTGTTTTGGGGGCACCTGGCTGGCTCAGTTGGTAGAGTGTGTGACTCCTGATCTTGGAGTTGTAAGTTTAAGCCCCACACTGGGTGTAGAGATTACTTAAAAATAAAAATCTTAAAAAAAAAAACAACATTGTTTTAGCTATGCAGAGTCTTTTGTGGTTCCATGTAAGTTTTAGGATTTTTTCTTTTTGTGAAAAATTCCTTTGGCATTTTGACAGAGATTGCATTAAGTCTGTGGATTGCTTTGAGTAGTATGGATATTTTAATAATGTTAATTCTTCCAATTCATCAGCACAGAATGTCTTTCAATTTATTTGTGTCTTCAGGTTTTTTCATCAGTATCTTAGCTTTTAGTGTACAGGCCTTTCATTTCCTTGGTTAAATTTATTACAGGCTTTTGTTCTTTTTGGTATTCTTTAATCTCTTTTAATCTAGAGCAGCAGCACTGTTTTCTCCCACCCCCAATAGTTTGTTGGGATCTTTTGAAGGGACCAGGTTGGTTGTTTTGTAGAACTGTCTCACATTCTGGATTTGTCTGATTGTTTCTTTGTGATGCTATTTAGCTTGTTCTTCTGTTATCTCAGTGTCCTATAAACTAGAAGTTGGGCCAAACAGCTTGCTAAGGTTCAGGTTAGACATTTTTGGCAAGAACACTTGAGACGTGATGCTGGGTACCTCATATACTATCACAAAGCACACACTGTTGGTGTGTCTCGTGATTAGTGATGCTAAGTCTGGCCATGGGGTTAAGGTGGTAGCTACCACATCTCTCCATTGTACGTTGCATCCTCCTCTTTGCAATGATCGGTTACTTTGTAAAGTGATACTTAGGTGCACATGACACATTTTCCTGTCATCCTTTTCACTGACTTATTTTGATACCCAGTTTTGATTAATGGGGCTTTGTAGGAACTCTGATATTTGTATTTTTTACAAGCTGCAAGTGATTCTGATAGATTCTAATCAGGATCCTTTGTTGACACAGAAAACACCTCACACTAGCTCAAGGTTAAAAACGGGTCATTAGCAAGACACAGGGAGGCTGTCCTGGAGCCCAGCTGCAGGATGTATGGCTGGCTTAATCAGAACTGAACATTGTACAGAGGCTCCTCTTCTGGAACTCTTTCTCTGCCTCCTTATGCAAATTTGCTACTTCATTCTCTCAATAGAATGCCTTCATTAATGCTCTCAGTTTCTCCTTCCCCATAATAGGTTTGTGTAAGGCTATAGGCAGGCTCCAAGCCTCTTAGCTATCTGGGTGACATAACTCAAATTCTGTCTGCGGAGAATCTGGCTTAACTCAGGAAGCTGTCCATCAGCAGTGGCTTATGGAGCAGAACCCTACACATTCCAGCAGGGGTTGGGAGAGCTTAGGAGGGCAAAGGGTAGGGGGTCCTAATAGAGGCATGACTAAGACTCCCTGACTCCACAGGGTTACTAATCCCAGGGGTTCTGTGACTTTCTAGGTACTGATTCAGGCTTCTCGAGCCAGACCCTTTAGAGAACAGAGATGGGCTCCCTGTTTCTCAACCCAGAAATTAATTCCATCCATCTCTGTCCTGATTCCTTCTGGGCCTAGGATTCCAGCACCACTGTCTGAACAGGCCTCATCTCCTCTTCTTTCCCACAGCCTGCCGTGGAGGTACCCCAGTATGTGGGTATCCGACTCCTAGTAGAGGGCTCCACCATCAAGAAGCCCCTGGCAATGTGTCACCGGCGGATGGGAGTCCGCCCAGCACTCCCTCACCTGCTGACCCAGCGAGCCTCTGGGGAAGGCAAGGATTTGGGGACTGTTACTCACAGGTCAGCTCCTAGGAAGGTTGCTGGGGCCAGGAGCCTGGGGCACACTGAGAAGCCAGACTCCACTGCCACCACCTCGGCCCCCGGAAAGGGGAAGAAAGTCAAGGCGAAATGTGCCTCGGCCCTGGTCTACCCCAATCTCCGGAAGTGGGAACCCCCCAGCACCAGGATGGGCTGCATTTTCACCATGACCTTTGCTAGTGGGGACATGCAACCCCACCCCTTGAACAGATTGCCATTGAGTCTGAAGAACCCCCAAGCCCTGGGTAAGACCATTCCCCCAAAACACCCCAAGGTCCCAAGGCAATTTCTTCCTGCTCTCCAAGCCCCTCCTAACCACCTAGATTTGCAACCCCGCCGTAGCCCCACCAAAAAGACACCAGTAGCAAGTAAAAGCCATCACTTACAAAGTATTTTCTAAAAATGTGTGACCAAATGAGTATCGTTCCCTCCAAAATAGTCACCCTGCAAGGTAGTGGTACTTATTCACAGATTCCAGGACTCAGTCCCAGGTCCATCTCTCATCAGAGCCCAAGCTTCTCCTGCAGCGGTATTCTGCCATTGCCTCCACGCAAAGTTGCCCCTGGGGGAAAGGAGCTAATAGTTGTTCAGCACTTAACAACTTACACTGTGCCGCTACCCAACCAGCTCCTTTAGTCCTTACAACCTAGCGAGGTAGGTGCTATTATCCCCATTTTCCAGCCGAGGTATCAGGAAGTTTAAGGAAGCTGCCTGAGGTTGCACATCTCAGAAGGGGCAGAGCTGGGATGCAGACCCAGGTCTGTTGGGCTCTAAACCCTGTGTTCTTCCCATGGCCTCTGGAGGAGGAACTGGGAGGGCTCCATTTGCCATCTCACACCCCAGCCCTCCTCTTCCCCCACTCTCCACCCTCCACGCACACCTTGAGGGGCTGCTGATCAGCCTTGGGGCCTCCCCAGGCCCTCACTGCCCCTCTTGCTCCCACAGCCCCTTACCATTTCCCCAGCCTTCACACCAAGGCCGGGCTGCCTTCTCATGTGCTCCGATCCCAGGGGCGGGTCATCAGACTGCAGCACAGCAAGTTGGTGGGCTCTAAGGCCCTGTCAACCACAGGCAAGGCCTTGATGACTCTACCTACCGCCAAGGTTTTGATTTCCTTTCCACCTAACCCTGAGCTCAAGTTGGCATCCAGCGTCCTGAAACCAAGAAAGGTGGGCCTTGAGCCGTGACTCACACCCTGGTGGGCAGTGCTGAATACTGGGGTTAGGGCTGGAGGGCACAGGCAAGGGCAGCTCCCTGACTAGCTGGAGCCCCAAGGGAAGGGCTTTTTTCCTCAGAACCCCCTTCCTGAACAGATTTCCTGATCATCTCTTCCTCCCTCTTCCTCCCTTTCACACTGAGGCTGTTGCTCCCCAGCACCTTCGTGGTCCCTGTCCTGGAAGTTCCTTGTGGCCTCTACCCTTCGAAGTTGGAAATCTTCCTAGCACCCACAGAGAGATCAAGGCCAAAGGCAAGTTCAAGGCCAGACTCTGTGATAGACCCAAGGCTGAGACATGCCTCATGAAGACAGCCTTCCAAGACTCCTGTCCTTGATCAGTGCATACCAGGGTCTAGGGAGCATGGGGGATGTGAGGCTACAGAAGCCCTTGCTTTGATCCTCACTGCCCCTATCCTGGATGCAGTGCCAAATAAAAAGGAGCAAGTGAAGTATCCTGGGCTTGGCTCCATTCCTATTGGAGGTTGAAGAGAGGGTAGGCTAAGGCCCTGTACCCCAAGGTCCAGAGTGAGAGCTACAGGCCATCAGCAACCTTCCACAAAGCAAGGGCCAGAATTGCCTCACTAGCGACAGATATGGGGCTTCCTATTCGGGGACTCCCTGACATCTCTGACCTTTGGATGGGAGGATAAGCCTCATTTTATAGATGAGGAAACTTATAGATGAGTCTGAATGAGAGACATGGCTTGCCCAAGATCATATGGCAGTGAGAAAACTAGGACACACTGCCAGACTGCTCACCACTGGGAGATACCCAGTCTCCAAGCCCAGGGTAGAAGCTGGGCTAGCAGCAGAGTGACATCTAAGGGTGTTAGATTTATAACGTAAGATGAAAGAAGGATGAACCTTGCCTAAACCCAGCCCTTCTCCAGAGGGAGTGGGTCTGTCCCTTCCTTAGCAAGGGGCCATGGTTGCCTAAAAAGGAAATATCAGTAGTATTTTAGTATTTCTTAGTTGTAGTGGGTTGAATGGTAGTCTTCCCTACACCCAAAGATATATCTGCTAGGAAACTGTGAATAACTTTATTTGGAAAAAAAGTCTTTGTCAATGTGATTAAGTTAAAGATCTTGAGATGAGAGTACTCTGGATTATCCAAGTGGGCCCTAAATCCAATGACAAGTGTCTTTATAAGAGTCAGAAGACACAGACACTGGAAGGCCGTATGAAGATGGAGGCAGGCTGGTGTGATACAACCACAAGTCAAGGCTTGGAGCCACCAGAAGCTGAAAGAGGAAAGGAAGGATTCACCCCTAGAGGCGTCAGAGGGCACAGCCCTGTTGACAACTTGATTTCAGACTGGCCTCCAGACAGATCTATGACAAAATTGATTTCTGTTGTTTTAAGCCACTCAGGTGTGGTAATTTGTTATAGCAGTCCTAGGAAACTAACAAGACTAGTCAAGTGGAGATACATATACTCTGATCCAGCAACTCTTGCATAAACGAACCAGGAAATGCATACAAGTGAGTTTACACCACTGTCGTGCCAATAGCCGAATGACCTGTCTGTTAACAGTAGAATGGATAGACTGGTGTGGCCATGCAGTGGAATTCAAACCCACACCATACATCACAGATGCATTTCACAGCGTGGAACAAGAACAAATCACAAAAGAACATACACAGCATGACTCCATTTATGGAAACACCAAAGTCAGGCAAAACGAAGTGTATTGTTTAGGGATGCATATGTATGTGGAAAACCTTAACAAGACAAACAAGGGAAACTTCCATGTCAGGCTAGGGTTTCCAACCTAGGATGAACAATAGAACCCCTTGGGGAACTTAAAAGATTGATGCCAGGATCTCCGGCCCAGACTGCTTAAATTGGTATCTTTGGGGTGCAGAATCACAGGGAGGGTACAGCGCATTTTTAAAGCTTCCTGAGAGGGAGGAGGAGGGGGTTCTACTGTGGGACCAGGGTTGAGAACTACTGCCCTAATAAGGAATAAGAGGCATGTTTCTGTTTTGTGCCCTGAGTGGTGGTTATATGGGTGTCACTTTGTAATTCTTTAAATCCCAGAGATGTTTATGTACTCGTTGTATGTTTGATATATTTCAGTTTTTTACTATAAAAGATCTGAGATCTTCATTTCAATATGAAGTCCCCAGAGTAGTCAGATTCATAGGGACAAAGGAGAATGGGGGCTACTAGCGGATGGGAAATCAGTGTTTAATGGGGCAGAGCTTCAGTTCTGTAAGATGATGTGATTGCACAACAGTGTAAATGTACCTAATGCCACTGAACTGTTCACTTAAAAATGGTTAAAATGGTAAATTTTGCTATGTGTATGTTATCACAATTAAAAAAAACAAACATTTCCTCCCAGCTAGAATTAGGACAGAAACAGCCAAATAAAAAGACCACATATTGAACTCAGCAGAAAGCGTGCTCCATGATACTCACTTTCTTAGCAAATCTTCAAAACCATACTATGAGGTAGGTACTTTTATTAATGCACGTCCAAAGAGATGAAGTCATTTGCCTAACACCATGCAGCAGGTGGCCTAGGCAGGCTTTGATCTTAGGTGTGTCCGAATGCAGAGCCCAGGATCTTAAAGCGAGGCCTTACTGCATGTTGAGTACTGACCTCATTCTCCTCAGGCCTCATCGTAGGTTCATCTCCCACCCCATCCCCACTGCTTTCCAGCAGAAACAAAAGGAACAGAAGGAGCATTATTGTTGGTGGAGCCCCAAGCACTGTAGGGTCCTGGAGAAATAAGAGGGCAAGGGTGCCAGAAGCTTCATGGGGGCCTCCCCGGGCCTCATGCCTGGAAGATGGAGACAATGCAGGTGGAGATGCAAGGGCAGTTGGGCAGCCTGGGAGGGGGTCAGGCAGAGGCGTCTGAGGAGGGCGTCATCCGGGACCTGGGGTGGGAGAGGCATGTCAGCATTCAGCCAGGTTAAGTTCCAACAGCTCTAACCAAAATGTGAGTAAGGCAAAGATTTCCTCCCTTTCTCCCCCGCTCCATGTCCATAATTTGTTACTCACTTCCTCTACACACACACACACACACACACACAATCATGCTATGGCAGAGACTGGGTAGGGTTCACTAAATCAGTTTCCACCTGTGCACACAGGTAAACATTTCTGAGTCCCTCTTGCAGTTTGGTGAGGCCATATGATAGTTTTAGCCAATGGAACAGGAGTGCAAGCATATGCCACTTCCAGACTTGGCCCACGAACACCTCCCACGTGAACCCGCACTGTCCTGTCTCCCTTCATCTGGCTGCATAGCAATGGCCTGGGTCCTGAGTGACTGCTTGGAGTAAAGCTCACCCACCTCACCCCCATTAATTATCTTTAATGTGGAGGGAAATTACTGTGCTAAGACTCTGGCACTTTGGGGTTACTCCGTTAAAGCAGATAGTTACCCTAACACATGCACACATACACCACTACTTTTACCCCTTATACCAAAGAGACCCAAAGGACAGCTGACTTAGAAGGGCCTTGAGAAACTGGCCCTTCAATAAGTTAAATTTCCTTATTGAACAGATGGGTGGCAGAATGAGGCCCAAGAGAGGGGATGTTACTTGCTCAGGGCCACACAGCAAGATAGGGCTACAGATAGCCTTGGAAGCCAAGAGGGCTACCTCAGTCCCAAATTTCATAGCTAATGTCTGAAGGTGCTGCCCACCCCCTGAAATGGCAGGTAGGTAGGCTTGGGTACCTGTCTTTGGGGCTTGGTGCTCTCTGCTGGCAGTAGAAAGCGCTGACCCAGGACAGTGCCCACACGGGCAGAGTATGTGTGATCCCCGAGCACAGGGCAGAGCTGTAGTACCATGTGTACCTGGAGCTGACTGGGGAACACTGGGGGACAGGAGAGAGATGACAGGGTGGGCAGCTGCTCTATCTGCCCCACCCAGGTTCATCACTCCCCCTTTCCTCTGGGAAAACAACACCACTCCGCTCCCATTCCCAGATCATGTGGTTTCAGTGACGTCAATGCTACTGCCCCTACCTCCAGAGCAGGGTGAAAGACCAGGTCAGGACAGTCCTATCAATCCACCTGGCCTGTGGGATTCGCTTGTGAAGAGATACAACCCTGAATTTACTGCTGAAGCTACTGGAAACAAGGAATGCTCTTTCCTGTGAGGGTGCTAAACTGGTGGGGTGCAGGTCAGGAGCTGCTGGAGCCCTGGCCATCTCTACCTTCACCACAGGATAGCCTGTGGGAGAAAGAAGCCAACATGCCCGAGGCAAGAAGAAATGGAGAAACAGCTTCCAGAGGACGTCCTCTGAGCCTCTTGATCCAGGAACACCTAAACTTAAGTTGTATGAACCAGTACATTCCCTGTTTTTGGCTGACACCAATTTGAACAAGTTTTTGGGAAACTGACAACCAAAAGTACCTTGACAAATACAGAATTGGGGGGCTGTGTGCTAGGCATGGTACAAAATGCTTTACTTATGTAAACTTATTTAATCCTCATGACAGCCCTATAAAGCAGATCCTATCATCATTCCCATCTTACACATAGGAAAACTGAAGCTCAAAGAGAAGTGACTTGCCTACCACCATAAGCTAGGATTCAAACCCAGGAGCTATACTCTGCTTCCATGTCCGGCAATATGGTGGACTGGATAATCTAAAAACCCTTTTGCTGGGTGCCTGGGTGGTTCAGTTAGTTAAGCATCCAACTCTTGATTTCGGCTCAGGTCATGATCTCACAGTTCATGGGTTCAAGCCCCATATATGACAGTGCAGAGCCTGCTTGGGATTCTCTCTCTGCCCCTCTCACACTCTCTCTCTCAAAACCAAATAAACTTAAAAAAAAGTTTAAAAACCCTCTTGCTATAAACCACCTAGAAACACCAGAAAAATAGAACAATCATCCTTTTAAATATGCATCTGGGCATATAGGAAAGTAAGATCCCAAGACCAAAACCAGGGGAAAACAAATCCAGAGCACACAGAGCCAACGTTTCACCTATTCTAGGGATACTGCCAATCTTGAGTATCCAGGGCCCTTGGGGTTAAGTAGCTACCCAGGGGCCAGGGGTGAGGCCTTAGTACCCAAATGAAATACTAGAGGGGCTACATCTCCAGTGATGGGGTGGACTAGGAGCAAAAGCCAGTCAACGGTAGATAAGTGGGGAATGAGAAAGTTTCCCCTGAGAATTCACAACCATGAGCCTGCTCTCACACAGGTGTGGGGCTCAAATTAACACTACTTGAGTGATCTGTGAACTTCCAACGGAGACAATATTTAGAGAGATCCTGAACTAGTGACAGCCCTGGGGCATTTGACAGAAGCAAAGGCAGAACCTCTCCCGAGAGGCTTATCTACAGTGAGGCAACAAAAGACTTCCAAAGATAAAGGCCTAGCTGAACTTGAATTCACAATCCTAAATCACAGAGCAATGAGAAAACCATTCACCAAGTATTAGAGTCAGCATCAAACATCACAGGATTAGACCCTCCAGAATCTTAGACAATGAAAATATAGAAATACAACATACAAATGTGTTTAACATGGTTAAAGACAAAAAATAACAATTGAGAAAAAAAAGATGCTATATATTTTTAAAGGCCATTTTTATTTGTAAAACAACCAAATAGAACTTCTAGAAGTGAAAAATACAGCCAATGGATAGGCTGAACTGGCAGATTAGATCCAATTGAAGAGAAAACTATTCACCTGGAAGACAGAGCTAAAGAAATTACCCAGAATGCAACAAGGATTAAGAAATGAAAAATATGAAAGAAAAGAGACCAAGCAAGGAGAATGAGAAGGTCAGACACATCTCTTAGGCATACAAAAGGAAGAGAATAGAGAAAATGCAAGAGGTGCAACACTGGAAGAGAGAAAGAACATTCCAGGATGGATGAAATATATTAATGTTCAGATTCAGGTGAATCCCAAGCAAGATAAATAAAACTAAACCCACATACCTATCAGACTTGGCATCGTGAAACCACAGAACACCAAAGACAAAGAAAAGATCCTGAGATCAGTATGAAAAAAATAAGATGAGCTACAAAGGAATGACCACCAGACTGACAGAAGTGCTACCTCCTCCAGATGGGCCTGATTACCTACCCCTGGGGTCCCACAGATGCTCCCCAGGCTTCCATTAACACCACCACCTTCTTTCCATCCCCCTTGCCTCCTCCAGCCAAATAGAGGTACGAAGGCTGGCTGGGGCTCCAGACCCACCTGTCAGTGGCTGCAGTTGGACCAAGGCACAGCCAGAGCCCATGGCCACCACATGGAAGTGGCTGAGGGTCCTCTTGACACCTTCTTGGAAGTCTTTTCGGGATGGGGACTTCACTGGAATTACCTGTGGTGTCAGCCCCCAAGAATGAACAAGCTTCACACACACCTGGCACCTAAGCCCAGACCCTCGCTGCTGCTAATAGACAGGGCCATAGTGTAAGTAGTAGTTACTTGCCTGTTTTAGGGGACAGGAGAGCCAGCCCCCTCCCCAAGTCTCTACCCTTGATTCCTCTGTAGGGATAATATATTTGGAGAGTCCCCTTCTGCTCCCTGCCAGACCATGACTCACAAGATCAACGCCATCAACGTGTTCCAGTTTCAAAGCTGCTTGGATCTTCCCCTCAGAAGTAGCTGGGATCCCATCAGTGACAGCACTAAGAAAGAGGCAGGAAGAGGTCACAGAGTGGCTTGCCAGGACCTCCCTACTGCCATGGGAGCCTCCCAGCACCACTCACCAGTAGTTGGCTGTGGGCCTCTGGGCTCTCCGTGAGTAGATGAAGAACTTTTGGAGGCGGCTGGCTGTCTGAGGACAACTGGAGAGGAGTACAAGCCCAGAGGTCTCTCTGGAGAAAGAGGATAAATCACAAAATTGAAGTCCCTTGGGCTCACCCCCAAAAAAGGGAGCATGCTTGGGAAGGCACACTGGCCTGCTTAAGGCAAAGCAATCACACCAGAACTATAACTCAAGACCTCCTCCTGAGAAACAAGAAAGACTTTCTCATGTTTGATACTAAGACTACATAATTTAATGTGCTCATTTTGCCCTGGTCCCCAAGGAGCTCAGAGCCAAATGTCATAACAATTACCCCCACTGCTGAATGTCTACAATGTGCCAGGCATTACAGTAGGAATTCTGTGTATAATAGCTCATAAATAATTAAATTCCCCACAAGCCTACGAGTTTGTGGAATTTCAGAAATATTTCATCCAAGTACCGGCTCTAGTTGATAGCGGTTTTAGAGGAAAGAATATCATGGGTCAACGAGCAATGCCTGCCATGATTATGGTATTGGAGAAGTGACTGCACGCTGAGCATAGGTATGATTAGCTCTATTTTATTATTAAGGGAACTGAGGCTCAGTGAGTTTTCATGCTTTGCCTGTGATCACAGTTTGTGCGTATGGATTTGAACCCAGATCTGTTCACTTCCTCCTTTTCCTTGCATCCTTCCTCTGTGCTCCCAAACCAGCCTGTGGAAAATGTCTCGACCTACTCCCAAGCAAGTGTTCCCTCACCCAAGATGGATACCTGTCCTCCTACATTCCTATCACCGCCCCCACCATCACTTACTTCCCAGATGCTTGCACAACCTGGAGCTCCTGATCCCCAAGCCCCAGGGACTGGCTCAGCTCTGGCAGCACTGAGAACAATGTCAACTCTCCTGGTTTTCCTGGGGGGACAAAAAAGGAAAAGTACAAGTTGCTCTCAGAGGCCTTTGGCTTTATCCCACTGACCCGTTCTCTTCAGTATCCCCTCCCTCAGAACCTTCAAACCCTCTTTCACTACATCCCCATCCCCTGCCCGTACCTGTCACTGGTAGACCCGGTGGCTTATTCAATGTCACTAGAGGTCCTAAAACATATATTACATGAGCATGAGCAACACAAAAGCAGCAGTTAGAGTTTATAAAGTACTTTCTCAATTCATCTTATCTTGTGACCCCACTACAACTCTCAGACCTGAGTTATCAACTACACCCTAAACTGAACTTCTTTCTGTCCTTCGCATATGCTAAGCTAGTTGCCACCTTAGGCTTTTATACTTGCTGTCCCAGATTTTCACATGTCTGACTCTTTCATATCATCTCGGCTCAAATGTTGCCACCACAGAGAGGCCTGACTCCCCAACCTAATGTCTGCCACATGGTCATAATACCCTGTTTTATTCATAGCATTGATCACTAGTAAGTACTTTGTTCACTTATTTCCTGATGAATCCATTTCTGCCACTAAAATATTAGCTCCCTGGGAGCAGGAACCATATTTATCTTGTTCAGCACTGCATACCTGTGCCTAGAACAGTGCCTGGAACAAAGCCTCTACTCAATAAACAATTGAGAGAATTAACAAATCACTGAATGGAGACTGAGGCTCAGAGAAATTATTTTCCTACAGCCACACAGTAAGCTGATTACAGAGCCTCGATCTGACTCCAAAGCCTGTGTTTTGTCCATCGGTAAACAATTTCTTATGGCAATTCCTATTACCAAGTGCCTACTATGTTGAAGACTCTCTAGTTATTTGCACCCTCTCACCCCCATCCCCACGATGCTGAGGCTCAGACAGATTATGAGGCCTGTTCCAGGTCATACCACCAGTGGGAGGCAACACGAGGATATGACCCCAAAGACTTTAGCAGGGAGCCCTGTCAGCCCCTAGAAGGCTCTGAGCAGCAGGCTCCCCTCCAGAGTCTGTGTGCAGCTGCCCCTCCCACCCCTCACCTTTCTGGTCCACTACTGCAGCCCTCAGCACATCAACCAGCTCCTCCCGACTGAGGTTCTCTAGCTGCAGCAGCCCCGGGAATGGCTGGCCCCCCAGGGGCCTCGACCGTTTGCTGGAGCCTCGGGGTCGCAGCCGATGTCTGAAAAAGGTAGAGTACGCAGTAGGAAGGATCACTCGTTTCCTGAGAGGTATCCATTCTTATCTCCCCACACCTTATATACTGCCACCTCCTACAAATGCCTCAGAATGCCTGGGGTGAGCTTCCCGCAAGTTCAGGCACATCTGGCCCCATTTTACAGAGGAGGAAACTGAAACTCAGAGAAACCAAGTGAGTAGTTTAGGGTCGGTCACACAATAGTGGCGGGATTAGAACCTATGCCTACCGAAGTCCAGATACCACACACACTTTACCCCGGCCCCACCGTCCCACCCACACGAAGGGGCGGGAGAAGGGGTAATCACCCGGCTTCGGTGCCAAAGCCTGGGGCCTTGGGCACTGCGTGGACCCCTGGCCGCCGCCGCCATACACCCCAGATCCGGCCCAAAACACTGCAGCCACCCATCTCCCGAGCAAGGACAATGCGCATGTGTGGAGAAGGGCCGACCCGCTCTCCCACAGCGTACTGATTGGTCAGAATGCCTGTCAATACAACTAGCGAGCCGGCTGGCTCAGAGGCGTGAGAAGGCGGAGCTTTGCCTTCCTGCAGGCAGAAAATATTTTACTCCCAGTCTATGCTTTTGAGGAAACTGAGGCACAGAGCAGCTAAGGAATTTACTCGCGATCACAGGACTTGTCTTAGGACAAAACAGGAACGAAAGATTAAGGTACTCTGTCTGATTACCATTCCAATTCATAGGAGCTTCTGACTTCAAAAAACCACCTGTGGGGCGCCTGGCTGGCCCAGTAGGTAGAGCATAGGATTTTTGATCCCCACTTTGGGTGTGGAGATTAATTAAAATTAAAATCTTTTTTTTAATGTCTTTTTTTTTTTTTTTTTTTTTTTTGAGAGAGAGAGAGAGAAGAGCGCAAGCGGAGGAGGGACACAGAGAGAGAGGGAGACACAGCATCTGAAGCTGGCTCCAGGCTGTCAGCCCAGAGCCCGATGCGGGGCCCAAACTCGTGTACTGAGAGATCATGACCTGAGCCCAAGTCCAAGTCCAGTGTTTAACCGACTGAGCCACACAGGCACCCCTAAATTAAAATCTTAAAACAAAATACGACTGTGCCCAATTTTGTAAGGCAAATTGAGGGGGGAAAAAAGTCCCCTTTGGTCCAGTAAGCCTGCTTGGAAGAACAGCCTGGTGCATAATCAATCCAAAAGAAGAAAAGGGCCTGAGGGAGAATGAGATTCACTACAGCATTATTTATCAAAACAAATCTCAAAACTGAAGACATAAATTGTCCTATGATTAGCTCTGTAGGGGACATAAATCTAATATATCACCAATTCAACATTTTTTTAACACTAACTCTATACCAGGCCCTGGCATCTCTGAGCTGGAATCAGGAATCAACAAGGCAAGCCCTGACAACAAGAAGTTCACCCCGTGGACACAGATCACAGCACACACAGCACACCACAGCCCACCTTGCTAAACCCTGTGCAGATGCTGAGAGAGTAAAAGGAGAGGAGCTGAGTGAAATCAGAGAGCAAGTTCCAGCATGTGTGGTGACAGAAGGGTTGTGAAGAACTAGAAATGCACCAGGAGGAACAGGTACTGGGAAGAAGGGAGGCAGAGGCAGGGAACAACGGGAGAAATGAGATGTTAAGTGAAAAACAAAGAACATGGGTTTTGTCCTATAATTACACCTATACAAAACTTACATGCAGCTTGTGTATTGTTTATTTACTAAAAAAACTGTAACTTTCAATTCATTGTTCAGGAAAAGACTGAACATCAACAGAGGAGTGGCTAAGTCAGTTGTAGCATATCCATACTATGCAGCCATTGATTAAGGAATGTGTATGTCTGTATCTGCTTATGTGAATCGGTTTCCAAAATATATTAAAGCAAAAAAGGAAAAGGGAGGACAAGTGTGACTAGAATATGCATATGTGTGTGTGATTCATATATATGTATTACATTTTATGCCTTTACATTTGTGAAAGGACACACAAAAACGAGATGGTGTTTGCTTCTGGAGAAGGAATCAGGGGTGAGAAGACGAATAATGATTTTACCCTTTGGAATCGTGTAAGTTTTTTTAATCTTGTTGATATGTTTTGCTGGTTTAAAAATCTAAGCCAGATATGAAAGACTGTATGATTCGTAAAATGTTTTAAATGCCAGCCAGGTGCCCCCCCACAAATAATTTTAAGTAAAATTAGGTAGATGGGGAGCACCTAGGTGTCTCAGTCAGTTAAGCATCTGTCTGTTGATCTCAGCTCAGGTCTCAATCTCAGGGTTGTGAGTTCGAGCCCCATGCTGGGCTCCAGGGTAGACATGAAGGCTACTTAAAAAAAAAAAAAGAGGGGTGCCTGGGTGGCTCAGTCGGTTAAGCGTCCGACTTCAGCCAGGTCACGATCTCGCGGTCCGTGAGTTCGAGCCCCGCGTCAGGCTCTGGGCTGATGGCTCAGAGCCTGGAGCCTGTTTCCGATTCTGTGTCTCTCTCTCTCTCTGCCCCTCCCCCGTTCATGCTCTGTCTCTCTCTGTCCCAAAAATAAATAAACGTTGAAAAAAGAAAAAATAAAAACACAGGGCACCTGGGTGGCTCAGTTGGGTGAGCGTCTGATTTCGGCTCAGGTCATGATCTTGCAGTTGTGAGTTCGAGCCCAGTGTCGGGCTCTGTGGTGACAGCTCAGAGCCTGGAGCCTGCTTCAGATTCTGTGTCTCCTTCTCTCTCTGCCGATCCACCGCTTGTGCTCTGTCTCTCTCTCTCTCAAAAATAAATAAATACATGTAAAAAAAATTAAAAAAAAGAAAACAGTAGAAATGAATTTTTTTTAAAGGCTATATGATTCTACTTACATGACATTTTAGAAAAGGAGGCAAGCTATATTGGCAGAAAAGAGTCAAGGGTGGGGTGAGTAGAGGTTGGGAAGTAGAGCATAAGGGAACTTTTTGGCATGCTAGAAATGGTGGTTACATAACAGTATGAATTTGCCAAAACTAAAAAACAAACAAACCCAAACTTAATTGTCTATACCTTAAAAGGGGAAAATTCATTTTATGTAAATTATACCTCAAGAAACTTATCTTTTTATTTTTAATTCAAAGATTTGAATAATCACTTTTTGAATAGATGTACCCGAATAGAGACAGAACTGACAAGACATTTGGCAAGAGTGCAAGTGGTTTTTATCTTGTTTTGGGCTCAGACAGTACTGTGCTTTGTCATAAGGCCCCACAGCATTTTAAAAACCCTCTTCTGAAAGGCCTCCTGTGCTTTCATAATAAGTACCAGCTTGAGCAAAAGTGGAAAGACTAAGGCCCAGGGGCTGGTACACGGTGTGCCTTAACTGCAACAGACCTCTCCTCCACTGAGGGCACTTGGCCATGGGAGAGGCCGTTTCCCCAGTTGGACTGGCCTCAGGCTCTCTGAGGTCCCGTGCTCTCTGGAATTTTTCTTTCATATACACTAGCCTCATCAAAGACTGCCCTCTCCTGTTCACTGCCCACAGCTGGTATGACTCCATTAGTCTCCAGGTTCCTGGAGGAAAAGGAAGAACCTAATATTCCCTGAGCTGAGAGGGCTCAATGCCAAGAGACTGTGGTCAGTCACTCAAAACTTACTTGTGAAACTCTGAGTCTTAGGAGGAGGAAAGATTGGACACATTCCAAACTTCTGCCACCCTTAGCCCAACTCGGCTTATGACTAACTTCACCAGAGGGGCAGATAGCTTACTTAAAAAAAAATTAAAAAAAGATTAAAAAAAAAAAAAAGGACACTTGGCTGGCTCAATCAGTAGAGCATGCAACTCTTGATATCAGGGTTGTGAGTTCAAGCCCCAGATTGGGCATTAGGTGTAGCGTTTACTTAAAAACTAAATAGGGGTGCCTGGGTGGCTCAGTCGGTTAAGTGTCCGACTTCGGCTCAGGTGTTGATCTCACGGTTTGTGAGTTCGAGCCCCGCATTGGGCTCTGTGCTGACAGCTCAGAGCCTGGAGCCTGCTTCAGATTCTGTGTCTCCCTCTCTCTCTGTCCTTTCCCCACTCTTACTCTGTCTCTCTCAAAAATAAACATTAGAAAAAATGTTTTTAATTAAATACATAAATACATTAATGTTAAAAAAAGAAGAAAAGAAGAGGGGCAAGTTGGTCGTAGCCTCTGCATGTGCTTGTATGAACATGGTGCCTCCACATGGAAAGGCCTACCCTGCAGAGCCAGGACAGCACTGAGCCAGGCCTCTAGCCATAAATGCAAGAGCAGGAAAGCCCAGAATAGAAACTATTTTCCTGTTAGCTCTGCACCCCTCCCACACATGGCTGCAGGTTTGGATCAGCTGCCAGCAATAACTCTCCAGACTCTAGCTTTGGCAACACAGGCCTTTATACTTAATAAACCCATCTAGGCTTTATATTCAGGGTCATAAATGACACATTTTTGAATGTGAGAGTCATAGACTAAAGCATAGTCACCTGCAAACTTTGCCTTTCATGCTTATCTTGTTTGAGTTGCCCTATTATGGAAAAATGCCAGCTCACACTGATGAGAAACTAATATTTTTTGTGGCTACAGAAAAGCTTATTTTGAAATCCTGAAGTTGACAGTGCTGAACATGAAAGGTAAACTATCTGGCAAGCTACGGAGAGCGTTGATGGAGGGTTCTGGTACAGCCTGATAAGTATGTTCCCACCTAAACACTTAAAAGGGTATAATAAAATGTAATACTGAGAAATTAGAAGAGTGCCTTAGTCCCACCCTGTCGACACTCAAAGCCCTTCTGATAAGCAGATTTATTCTGGAAACTGTCCTTTACTGTTTTGGTTATGTGGTCTGTTCAAGTCTCTGATGAAGCAGACATTAGTTCCAGAATCAATTGCAATTCTTTTTTTTTTTTTTTGGCAGAAAAAGTCCTGTACCTATAACCCCACATTTTGAAGAATGGTTTGACAGTAGATTCCTCTCCTCCCTTAGACCTTTCCAACCTTCCAGGCAGAACCCCACCCTCACCCCCAAAGAACACAGGCAAAGATGTATTAGCATAAATAATTTAATGCAAACTCTCTAGTAACATACACTAGTGGACTTGACAGTTCACTCAGGAGTATCAGGGCTGAGGGACCAGGAAGTGGGGAGCGCGATGGAAGTAGAGCATGTGAAAACAGGTAGCTGAGGGGCAGACCTCATGCTAGCCTGCTGGTGACCCGTCTTGGTCAGCTAAACTACCCTGGACAGGAAGTAGCTGGGCCAGGCTAAGAACACTCAGTTCTCCTTTCCCGGCCTATCCCAGATTTCTGACCTTTTCCCTTGGGAAGCCTTCTTCATTCGAGGTCCTGGGAGGTGAGGAAGGTGTGGCAAGATAAGAAGCTGCCTAACTGGGTTTGTAGGTGCTACTAGCTGAGCATGGGGGCCCCCCATCTAGTCCTTCTCTGGGGAATGCCTCTAAGGACTTGGGTCTTCACTGCAGCATCTTCAGACAGGATGGGATGAGCGATGGGGCCTTGCCCTCAGGGGGCTGCCCTCCCTCTGTGGCATCCAGGAACTGCTGCATATAACACGATGTGCCAAGCAGCACATGGCCTGTGGCCTGCATGCTGAAGAGGGCCCAACGAAGAGCTTCCCTGGGTGGAAGAAAAAGGCACTAGAGTCAAAACACAAAGAAAACCCCTCCCTACAGCCTCTAAATGCTGCCTCCATAATTTCATAAATTGTAGAGTGATGTGTCAACAGGAACAGATGCTGCCTTCCCTTCGCAAATGGGAAAGGGTCTACAGACACTGCCTGCAATCATGCCTTAACTGAGATGTCCGTCACCTCCCTATTTTCTCATGGAAAATTCACCCTCATTTAATAAGACCTTTAATTTTTGTAATACTGCTTTAGGCCAGCCAGATTAATCTCCATCCCATGGCTCTGTCCTTCATGACCTCTGTTCTAGACTCTGAGACCTTTCCAAGTCATGTGTAGTCTAGCTAATGTTCAGAGCGCTGGACATGAAGATCTTCATGCTTGGTATTGCAATGTAATGAGAACAGAACTTGAGTCAAATAGGCCAGAGTTCTAATCCAGTCTTATCAGCTGTGTGAAGGTTGGCAAACTGCTATAGTTCTGAGCTTCTGCTTCCCCAACCATAAAATAAGATCATACTATTTTGATCCCTCACAGCGTTCTGAGGTTGAAATAACCTAAGTCACTTAATGTGGAGCCTAATAGGTAGATGAGTAGGGTAAACGTGGGGTCAAGAGTAGCTGGTGGAATGCTTGACTACTTCAACCAAGTTCTTGTCCAAATCTATTTAAAAGAGATAGACGAGGAAGAGTCACTAGGGGTGTTTAGTCCTAGGGGAGATCAGGGAGGGGAAAACAAAAGGAAAATAAAGACTTTCTGGCTGGTATTAAAACTTACAAACTGTTAACCTTCATTCAATAAATGAACTTATGGTTAAGGTATAGGGAGACAAAGATGATCAGAACTCTAAACATCTACACATGAAAATTCTTTAAAATGTTAGGGGCGCCTGGGTGGCTCAGTCAGTTGAGCGTCCGACTTCGGCTCAGGTCACGATCTCGCGGTCCGGGAGTTCGAGCCCCGCGTCAGGCTCTGGGCTGATGGCTCAGAGCCTGGAGCCTGTTTCCGATTCTGTGTCTCCCTCTCTCTCTGCCCCTCCCCCGTTCATGCTCTGTCTCTCTCTGTCTCAAAAATAAATAAATGTTAAAAAAAAAATTAAAAAAAAATGTTAAAGGCTATACCTGAGAAGTATACCCATTTCTCAAATTAGAGTACTAAGGCTTAAAACCAGCTGTCCAGCCATAAATAGGAGGGAAATTCTGACACAGACTACCACATGGATGGACCTTGAAAACATTATGCTCAGTGAAAGAAACCAGTCACAAAAGAGCAAGTACTGTGTAAGATCTCTAGACTAGGCAACTTAACAAGATAGAAAGTAGAACCCCCCCGCCACACACACACACAAAAGAAAAAGAAAGTAGAACACAGGTTACCAGGGGCTGGGGGAAGGAGGAGTGGAAAGTTGGTGTTTAATGGGGACAGAGTTTCATTTTGGGATGATGAAAAAGTTCTGGAAATTGATAGTGGTAACCGTTGCACAACATTGTGAATGTACTTAATGCCACTGAATTGTACACTTTAAACCAGTTACGATGGTAAATTTTATGTTACATATATTTTAAAACGGAACAACAAAAATAAAACTATTATTAAAAAAATAAAATAAATATAAAACTATTATTAAAAAAATAATAAAAAGCTGACACCATTAAGTCACCACACCTACTTCAGCTTGTTTTGTTTTTTTGGGTTCAGGTCTGAGAGTCTTACTTCCCCTAAATGCACTGAATTTAAAGGCTGAAGCTTCTATTCTAGGTTTTGAAATCTGCAAACTACCGGCAGCAAGCCCAGATCAAGATGGGGCATGATATGGTGTAGGAGGAATATGGGATTTCTAGCCACAGAACTAGGCTCAGAGCACCTGTCACTGAATGTCATCTCTGGCAAGGCTTCAGGTCCCTCATCTGCAGACTGGATATGCACAGAATTAACTCAGAAAGCCAAAAGGTCTAGTGTGCTCTAGCTACGTGTGTTCTGACAGAGCTCTGGGGACCCTGAGCAGGATTTCTCAGAAGGCCTCTAAGAACAAGGATCATATGCGTTATCATTCATTCAAATTACTGCTATGTGCTGGCATTCATCAAGGTACTGGGGGCAACAATGGAGCTTGTTCTGACATCTTGTTTATATCTGGGTCTTAAGCTTACCACATAGGGCCAGGCACACAGTGTGTGCTCAGTAGATGCTAAATGAAGCAATTGGGGAGGACTAGAATCTGTCAGAAGAAACTCGCAAGAAGCCATGCTCTGCTACTCCCTAGCTTTGTGGCTTTGGCATCGTTGGATGCCTCTGCATCAGTGGCTGCATCCGCCCGATGGGGTAAGAATTCATTAGAACACCAGTGGAGCAGCTGAAATTGGGAAACATCACCCTAACAGTACTTGTACCCTAACAGTATTTGTCTTATGATTTAACATATTCTCATGCTTCCCATGTTACTTGATTAGACTTCCACAGTAAAGTAGAAAGTTTGAAAGAAGTTCATTCATCAATACAAATGAGTATTGTCCACAGACTTGCAAGTTAATTCCATCTATGGAAGAACAGTTATTTCATCCCTCCCACCCCCATAGAAAAATCCAGTTTTGTATCTGTGAATTTATCTGTCTTGATGGAGCTGTGTATATTGAATTCTCCTTTGAACTGATTGTAACTTCTTCCTGGTTCTCCCCTTAATTAAAGAGTTCAATAAAATCTTTGACATGTGTTCACTTTTTAAAAACCAATTAGAAGACTACTTAGGAAAACTTACTATTTTAGGTGAAAAAATAAGTTGTTATGGTGGAAGGTAATTAGAAAAATAATGTAGGGGCGCCTGGGTGGTGCAGTCGGTTAAGCGTCCGACTTCAGCCAGGTCACGATCTCGCGGTCCGTGAGTTCGAGCCCTGTGTCAGGCTCTGGGCTGATGGCTCAGAGCCTGGAGCCTGTTTCCGATTCTGTGTCTCCCTCTCTCTCTGCCCCTCCCCCGTTCATGCTCTGTCTCTCTGTCTCAAAAATAAATAAACATTAAAAAAAATTTTTTATAGAAAAATAATGTATCCCAGTTCCACCTGGAGGAGATATGTGTATCCCTTTGGCATCTGCTAAAGCACCAGTTCAGCCATAAAGTTCTAGAATATGCTGCCATGCTTTGTCAGCATCAACACTAGTCCAAGGCCCTAGAAAGCTGAGGTCCATGTGAACAGAGAGGGACTCTCTCATTGATGAATACCCACCCTATCCCCAGCTAATCCCAATTCACTCACTTCATGATGCGTTTGGCCCGGTAGCAGTGCAGGTCATAGGAAAGGGAGTAGGTGCCGTACAGAGTGGCCTTCACATTCAGGCAACCAATGAAGTCCTGTGGGTTCATCTTGTATAGGTCAAAGGTTACACGGGCCACATCAATCTTCTTGCCGGGCTTACGGGAGAGGGAGAGTTGGTACCTAGTGCTCTGTATCAAGAGAAGCCTGTGGTTGGCAACCTACCCCCCACACCCCAAAAAAGGACTTCTCCCAGACTCCCAATGTTCTCCCTACCACACAGGTGGGAACCTCACCTTCTCTGATGGGGGCTGCCATTTCTGCCCCTTCTGGAGGACCATGAACACTGTGTCATCCCCCAGGGCTTGGAAATACTCTTCTGTCTCAACAATTGTACCATCTTCCTCCAGCACCAGGAAGAAGGGCTTGTCTGCCAGCATCAGGGTGTCCCGGACCTGGAGAATAAGATCAGTGATGTTTCTGCCATCCCCATACAGCCACAGAGCATGAGGAAAATCCATATTACATCATCTCAGCTGCCAGGGAAAGAGCAAGTGGATAAGGATCTATGGGAAAAAGGCCTGGAATCCAGGCTCTTGCTGTGGGAATCACAATCCAAAGATTCTGTATTATGGTCCTTCTTGGTACCTGGCTTCATGGTTATGTTCTGGAACAGTGCTGTCCAAAAAAATATAATGGGAATCACATATGTAACTTTTTATTGAGAATATAATATAATATAATATAATATACATGAATATAATTCATGTATCATAAATTTCACCTTTAAAAATTTTTTTAATATTTATTTTTAAGAGAGAGAGAGAGAGAAACAAAGGGCGAGCAGGGGAGGGGCAGACAGAGAGGGAAACACAGAATCCAAAGCAGTCTCCAGGCTCTGAGCTGTCAGCACAGAGTCCAATGTGGGGCTTGAACCCATGAACTGCAAGATCATGACCTGAGCCTAAGTCAGACACTTAACTGACTGAGCCACACCGGTGCCCAAAATTCACCCTTTTAAAGTATACAATTAATGGGGTGCTTGGGTGGCTCAGTCGGCTAAGCCTCAGAATCTTGGTTTCAGCTGGGGTCCTGATCTTGTGGTTTGTGGTTTCAAGCCCCACATCAGGCTCTGTGCTGATGGTGTGGAGCCTGCTTGGGATTCTCTCTCTCTCCCTCTCTCTCTGCTTCTCCCCCGCTCATGCTCTCTCTCTCAAAATAATAAATGAGTAAACTTAAAAAGTATACAATTCATTGTGTTTTAGAATATTCACCAAGTTGTACAACCATCACTACTATCTGATTTCAGAACATTTTCATCACCCCAAAAGAAACCCAGTACCCATTAGCAGTCATTCCCCATCCCCCAGCCCATGACAACCTCTACTGTCTGTCTCTATGGATTTGCCTATTCTGGACATTTCATATAAATGGAATCATATATAATATGTGGTCTTTTTAGACTAGCTTCTTTTCCTCAGTATGTTTTCAAGGTTCATCTATGTTGTAACATGATTCATTTCTTTTTCTGGCCAAATTATATTCTACTATATAGGTATATCTCATTTTTAATCCATTCATCAGTTAACATAGACATTTGGGTTGTTTCCATTTTTTGAGTATTATGAATACTGCTGTTATGAGTATTCATGTACAGGTTTGCAAGTGAACATATGTTTTCAGTTTTCCTGGGTATATACCTAGGACTGGAAATGCTGAGTCACACAATTAACTGTATGTTTAACTTTTTGAGGAGCTGCAAAACTATTTTCCAAAGCAGCTATATCAGTTTATATTCCCACTAGCAATGTGTGAAGATTCCAATTTCTTCACATCTTCATTGGTACTTGTTATTGTCTGTCCTTTATTTATTTATTTAATGTTTATTTATTTTTGAGAGAGAGAGAGAGTATGAGCAGGGGAGGGGCAGAGAGAGAGGGAGTGTCTGTCCATTATTTTAGCCATTCTAGTGGGTATGAAGCAGATTTGATTTGAATTTCCCTAATGACTAATGATGTTGGACATCTTTTCATATGTCATTAGCCATTTATATATTATCTTTAATTTTTTAATGTTTATATTTGAGAGAGAGAGAGAGGAGAGGTAGAGAGAGAGGATCCCAAAAAGGCTCTGTGCTGTCAGTGCAGAGCCTGACATGAGGCTCTAACTCACGAATTGTGAGATCATGACCTGAGCTGAAATCAAGAGTCAGACGCTTAACTGACTGAGCCACCCATGTGCCCCATTTATATATTTTCTCAGAGAAAAGTCTATTCCATTTTTTTTGGCCAATTTTTTTATTAAAAATTTTTAACGTTTATTTATTATTGAGAGAGCATGAACATGGGAGGGGCAGAAAGAGGGGGAGACACAGAATTCGAAACAGGCTCCGGGCTCTGAGCCATCAGCACAGAGCCCAACGCGGGGCTTGAACTCACAAACCGCAAGATCATGACCTGAGCCTAAGTTGGATGCTTTACCAACTGAGCCACCCAGGCACCCTGTTTTTTTGGCCAATTTTTAATTGGGTTATCTTTTTATTGTTGAGTTATAGAAGTTCTTTATGTATTCTTGATATTAGATCCTTATCATATATGAGATTTGCAAATATTTTCTCCCATTCTGTAGGTTGTCTTTTAATTTTGTTAATAACACGTATTGATACATGGAAGTGTTTAATGTTGATGAAGATTGATTTTTTTCCTCTGATTGCTTGTGCTTCGATGCCTTATCTAAGAAACCAGTCATGAAGACTTACACCTGTTTAGTTCTAAGAGTTTTATAGTTTTAACTCTTTGATACATTTTGACTTAATTTTGTTCATGGCATGAAGTAGGGATGCAACTTCATTATTTTGCATGTGGATATTCCATTGTCCTAGCACTATTTATTGAAAAGACTATTCTTTCTTCTGTCAAAAAATCAATTGTCCATTGATACATGGGCTTATTTCTGGAGTTTCAATTCCATTCTATTGATTTGTATGTATTATGAGCTCCCAAATTCACATATTGAAATCCTAAGTCGCAGTACCTCAGAATCTGGCTGTCTTTGTAGATAGAGTCTTTAAAGAGGTAATTAAAGTGATGTCATTAAGATGGGCCCTAACCCAATATTACTGGTATTCTTATAAGAAGGGGAGTTTAGGATACAGAGACATACTCAGAGAAAGACCATGTAAACATGAAGGCAGCCATCTATAAGTCAAGAACAGAGGCCTTAGAATAAACCAACCCTGACAGCACCTTGATCTCAGACTTCCAGCCTCCAGATTTGAAAGAAAATAAATTTCTGTTAAGTATCAGTCTGTGATACTTTGCTATGGAAGCCCTAGAAAACTAATAGAGTGTCTTTCCTTATGTCAATACCACAGAGTTGATTACTGTAGCTTTGTAGTAAGTTTTGGAATCAGGAAGTGTGAGTCTTTCAAGTTTGTCTTTTTCCAAGATTGTTTTAGCTATTTTGGTTCTGGCTCATAGAAATAATTCTATGTAAATTTTAGGATAAGCTTGTCAATATCTGTAAAAAGAGTAGCTGGAATTTGATGGGGATTGCACTGAATCTGCAGATCAATTTGGGAAGTATTGCCATCTTAACATTAAGTCTTCTGTGAGATCCTGACCTGAGCCGAAATCAAGATTGGACGCTCAAATGACTGAGACACCCAGGTGCCCCTTTGGAAGATTTTTTAAAATTAATTTTGAGGGGCACCTGGGTGGCTCAGTCGGCTGAGTGTCTGAATCTTGATTTCGGCTCCAGTCATGATCTCACAGTTCATGAGTTTGAACCCCTCATCCGGCTCTCTGCTGTCAGCGCTGAGCCTGCTTTGGATGCTCTATCCCCCTCTTTCTCTGCCCCTCCTCTCTCTCTCTCAAAAATAAATAAACATTAAAAAAATAATAGTAATAAATTAAAAATCTTTCAAAGGCTTATTGTTATCTTTTAATTTTTTTTTCCAACGTTTATTTATTTTTGGGACAGAGAGAGACAGAGCATGAACGGGGGAGGGGCAGAGAGAGAGGGAGACACAGAATCGGAAACAGGCTCCAGGCTCTGAGCCATCAGCCCAGAGGCCGACGCAGGGCTTGAACTCACGGACCGCGAGATCGTGACCTGGCTGAAGTCAGACGCTTAACCGACTGCGCCACCCAGGCACCCCTTGTTATCTTTTAAAATGAAATCCCTCTGTTCTTTTCCATGGCCAATAAGGGACTTATACTCTGGTCACTGCCAACCATATCACCTTACCCTCTTTCCCTCACTCTCTGCTCCTTTCTTTGTATTGCCAAACTTGGAAAAGCAGTCCAGATAGGCTGATGTCCTCCCTGCTCCATTAGTAAGATTCACTTCTGACCTGTGTTCCATCTTGGAAAGATGGACCCTCACTCTTGTTTCTCCTTGCATCCTTTGGAGTTAGGATTCTGACTTGGGGTCCCCAAACTCAGTGGCTATAAGACTCTCCTGAAACAACTGCTTAAAATGACAACTCCTCAGCTTCACTCATGACCTAATCAGTCCCAGGGCGTGCATTCTGGGAAGCCATGTGTGACAAGTCCATTTTAGCACAGGAAGTGGTCCCCAGCCCTCAGGTGAAAAAACACTACCAAGTCTAGACTCAAGTGTGAAAAAGTCCTTTTGATTCAGGGCATAAAAAATTGGTGTGTCACAGCCACAAGCCTCACAAGAGAGGGGAGATTGGCTCCCATGAAGAAGAACAGACCTAATTCACAGAAACAGGGGAGAGACTCCAGAATAGAGGCTTAGGTAAGCTATGATTTCTATATGTTAAACAGACTGTAGTAATCAGAAGCCTAATCCAAATGTGTAATCTGTGCCAGGCAACTGGGACATCCCCTAGAGTGCATAAGCTAATGAGGCAGTGAGGCACAAGACTAATAAAGAGCAAGATTAGATGAGGCTATAGGAGAGGCTGGGGAGAAGTTATCCCCAGCCTAGTAGAGAGGGAACATGGAAACAGGGAAGGGTGTCATTCTTGGCGGCTGTTACTACCATCCACAAGAGCTGTGTGTCTTTTGTTTCCTGCTCTAGAAGCTTACCTGATCAATAGTTTGAAGATTCTTCCACAGCGGTTAACAAAGCCTGCCATGGAAAGCCAGTGTAGGAGATGGATGGAAGAACTGCCCTGGCTGAAGGGAGGAAATGGGGAAGAGAATCTCTAAAATCTTACCTATTTCCCCAACTTCCAGGCATGTGTACAATGGAAAAGAGAACCTAAAGGTCTTTCCAGTAAGAAAAATATGCCTCAGGGGTGCCTGGTGGCTCCAACTCTTGGTTTCAGCTCAGGTCATGATCTCACAGTTTGTGAGTTCGGCCCCATGTTGGGCTCTGCACTGACAGTGTGGAGTCTGCTTGGGATTTCTCTCTCCCTCCCTCTCTGCCCCTTGCCAGCTTGCACGCACTCTGTCTCAAAACGTAAATAAACATTAAAAAATAAAAAAAACGGGGCGCCTGGGTGGTGCAGTCGGTTAAGCATCCGACTTCAGCCAGGTCGCGATCTCGCGGTCCGTGAGTTCGAGCCCCGCGTCAGGCTCTGGGCTGATGGCTCAGAGCCCGGAGCCTGTTTCCAATTCTGTGTCTCCCTCTCTCTCTGCCCCTCCCCCGTTCATGCTCTGTCTCTCTCTGTCCCAAAAATAAATAAACGTTGAAAAAAAAATTTTTTTAAATAAAAAAAAAAAAAGAAAAATATGCTCTGAAAATGCCACTGATCTACTGTTGTAGATATAGGATGGCAATCCTATAGGTATTCTGCTGCAGTATACTGCCCTCCCCTTGTCACCAGACAGACATCATTAATCCATTGGACAGCACTCCAGGCAGGCACTACCAACTCGTTAGAGTGGGCATCAGAAAGGAAATCTTCTCACCATCTAACCTATGAACTCTATCCCTGCTGAAGTCCCAACTCATGACTCAGAGGACAGAGGAAGCCAGCAGGGCCAGCTCTCAGCCACAGTCCCAGTGGTTGGGCTGTGCTGAGGGTAGTCCTGTCCCTCACCTTGTGGAGGAGGTCCTTGAGACTGTGCGCCATGATGCCCTTCCGCACACTCCGGTCAGCAGTGCTTACTCTGCAGGGCCGGGCCTTGGGGGCCTCCAGGCTGGACTCGGTCAGTAGCTGCTGGGTCACCATTGAGGTGCAGGTGCTAACTGCCACATGCCTGCGGGCAATTTGGAGCATCAGAATGAGCAGCCTGCTGCCTCCCAGCCCTCACCCCTCTCAGGGAACTCACTCCCCTACCCCTGTAGGTTGAGCTCATCATATTCTTCTTCCTCTATCACCCACCAGGCTTGCTCTAAGACTTACCGGTATCACTAAAAGTCCTGTTAGATCAATGCATCTCAAACTTCAGTGATCATATTAAGTCCTCAGGAGACCTGATTCTGATTCAGGAGGTCCGGGTGGAAGCTGGGATTTTATATGTCTAATAAGTTTCGGAGTGGCATTGATGCTGTTGGTTGACACTGACCATGATGAGTAGCAAGGTGATAGGAGACCCATCCCACGTTCCCCAATACCAACTTTCCTGTCTTGGCCTCTTTCTTCCCACCCGTGAAGTGAAATGAAGTGGCAAAGCTGAGGTCAATGTAAGATAGTTTTGAATTCTGATATACATGACGTAGAACCAGAAGAGTAGAGGGGGAACCTTGGTTTTGGAGTCAGACCCAAGTTTGAATCTTGGTTCTACTACCCATTTGTTAAGTGATGAAGAGCACCCGTTCTGTGCCTCAGTGTCCCCATCTATTAATTTGGTGTAATAATCCCCACTTCCCAAAGTTGTGATGAGGTTTAAATGAGATCAAGAATGAAGGTCCAAGCACAGTGTCTACCTTTTTCTACTCAATATGTGGTAGCAGTGTGGGGAGAGGATACCAACCTTAAAGTCACCTGAGGGCTTGTCAAAAGTACAAAATCTGGGTCCTACTCCAGACCTCCTAAATCAATATCTACATTTTAACAAGATGCCCTGGTGACTTAGAAGCTTGTTGAAGTTTGAGAAGGTCTGCCTTATAGCTCACAGGTAGCTCCCCTTTGTTTCTACCCTTGGCTCTCCTCACCTGGAGAAGGACTTGGGGTAGAGAAGGCTGAGGGACTTCATGGCATATTCCATCCTTGTCACCTGGATAGTGTTGGGCCTGAGAACGAAATAGAAAAGCTAGTTAGGGTGGGAACAGAAGGTCCCTTTCATCATTCAACACAGTGCAGCCTCACCTCCATCCAGTGAACCTCCACTCTGGTCTCTCCTCTCAACTCACACATGCCTTCCCAGCCCTCCTGTCCAATCCCATGCTTGCCAACTGGAACCAAACTGGAAAGCCCCTCTGGACCCAGGCTCGGCCCCACTCGGCAGCTCCTCCTTTCTCCCCAGGACTACTCACTCCATGTTTCTCCGACCCTGGCTCTGGTCACACTGATCAGGGATCCCCAATTGGGTCTGAAGAGGCCCTATCTGGTTAGTTCCTGCCCCTGGGAGCAGAGTTCATGCTACGCTGGCAGGAGGTGAGTCACACCACCTCCGTCTTCTGGGGATTATTTCCTCACCTACAGTCCAGAGACCTCAGAGGCTAGGCTCACACAGGCCAGGCAGCCCAGTCTAAGCCCGCTCTCTCTTTCATGTGTCCTTGAACCCCTCCTGAGGCTTTCCATTGGCCAGAGGGATTTTCTGTGACGATGGATGATAGATGTGTTCTATATCCTTTCTCCCCAGTCCCAGAGCTGCGAGCTTCATGTGGCTATTGAGCACTGGAAATGTGGCCAGTACAAATGAGGAGCTAGATTTTTAACTTTAGTTGATGTTAACTAACTTAAATTGAAATAGCCACTGTGGCTTATAGCTACTGGCAACCAGACTGCACAGTAGAGATCCAGCTATCTGATAGCCCTGGGCTCACCTGACACTTTCTCTCCTAAACCTCTCTGCTTCAGCTCTTTCAAGCTCCAACTGTCTGTGGAGACAGCTCCCTCCACCTGCAACATGCTCCTTTGGCCCAGGGCTAAACATATGCAACCTTGAAACCCCAATTTCCCTATATTCCACTCTTTGGAAAGCCATTTTAGATGGCTCACACAGTCCCCTCTTCATCTTGCCCTTCCTACTTCCTAGTCAAGTGTGCCTCATTGTCTGTCTCTGCCTTACCCCCACTGATCCTTGGGTGACTCTCCCTGAGATGTTCTCCCTATTCCAAGCTCAGAGAGGGCCTGACACAGTGCAAGGGGCTTAAGGAGTGGTCATGGAACAAAGAGCCCCCTCCCCAGTCAGGTAAAATCAGTCATTCCTTCTGACAACTTGGGGATTCTCTAGGCCAGCCCTATCTGTGAACCCCCCAACTAGCACTACCCAAGTCCGTTTGCTTCAGCCTCACTCCTCACTCCCCGTCCAAAGCCAAACTCTGCCAAGTTCACTTCACCTGCTCTCCAGGAGCTGCCCCATCAAGACCGCAAAAACTTACCTCCCCCCTCACAGCTTCCTTACTTCCTTAAGACACTGCCTGGCCCAGCCCAGCCCTCCCTCCATTTTATTTCCAGGTCCCAGGGAAGCCCCTCCCCTGGCCTTCAGCCCCAGCTGGGGAAAAGAGCAGGGGAATGAGTGTGCAGTTCTTTCCCTTGGGATTTCGGGCCAGCCTAACTTCCAGAAAAGGCCCGAAAGGAGGGGAAAAGGCATGTTTTGTAAGCTGTGGGCCAGGCTCAGGACGTGATATCAGTCACAGAGGGCACAGAAAACAGGCAGATGTGAGTTGTGTTCCCAACTCCACTTGAGTTCACTGAGTGTAGACCAATTATCTCACTTCCGTGAACCCATTTCTCTCACCTGTACAACAGGGATAATCATTCCTGTGTTAGTGGATTGAGGTGAGGATTTGTGATAATAAAAGTAAAGGGCTTTGCAACAGAGACACATAATAGGTAGAAGTGAGTATTGGTGTTGTAATATTATTAATGAATAATAGTAGAGGGGTGCCTGGGTGGACAGTCAATTGAGTGTCCCACTTTGGCTGAGGTCATGATCTCATGGCTCATGAGTTCAAGCCCCGTATCTGGCTCATTGCTGTTAGCACAGAACCTGCTTTGGATCCTCTATCTCCATCTCTCTCTGCCCCTCCCCCGCTTGCACTCTCTCTCTCAAAAATAAATAAACAACAAAAAAAAAATAATAGTAGAGACTAAAGCTAGCTGAAATGTGTAGTGGTTAAGAGTATAAGGTCTTACCCTTGACCCAGCAATCCTACTCCTATATATATTCATTGTATCTCATTCAATCTTTATTTTATATATATAAAATAACCACACCCAACTAGCTAGTTTTATTGGAGGAGGGCACATGGAGTTAACAATGTGAAGACAGTTGGGACCTGAGGTTGGAAAGAACACCCTCCCCTCCCTATACATGGCTAAAGCCCCAAATAAAAAATAACCAACTATGGGAGAGCAGCTGAGTCAGGGACTGAGGGCTGGGAAGGGAACATCACGGAACCCGAGGGCAGCAGAAGAGATCATGCACGTGCTGGGAGGGCAACTAACATGAGTACAAGTCTTTGTGTCTTCCACATTGGTCCATATAAATATATAGAGAGAAGTTATTCACTTTCCCCTGCTCTCCTCTCTGTTCTGTGCTGCTTGCCACAGACACAACTCCTCTTTCCATATATATATATATATATATATATATATATATATATATATATATGGAATATATATATTCAAGAGAAATGAAAACGTATGTCCACACCAAAACTTATACACGAGTGTTCATAGCATTGTTTATAATAGCCAAAAGGTAGAAACAACTCAAATGTTCATGAATTGGTGAATGGATTTTATCAATAAAAATATAACATGTAAAAAATATAAAAATGTAGCATATCTGACAAACGATAAGAGACTCTTTTTTTTAATGTTTATTTGTTAAAAAAATTTTTTTAATGTTTATTTATTTTTTTTATTTTTTTTCAACTTTTTTTTATTTTTGTGACAAAGAGAGACAGAGCATGAACGGGGGAGGGGCAGAGAGAGAGGGAGACACAGAATCGGAAGCAGGCTCCAGGCTCTGAGCCATCAGCCCAGAGCCTGACACGGGGCTCGAACCCACGGACCGCGAGATCGTGACCTGGCTGAAGTCAGATGCTTAACCGACTGCACCACCCAGGCGCCCCCATGTTTATTTATTTTTGAGAGAGACAGAGACAGAATGCAAGTGGGTTAGAGGCAGAGAGAGAGGGAGACACAGAATCCGAAGCAGGCTGCAGGCTCTGAGCTGTCAGCACAGAGCCTGATGCGGGGCTAAAACCCACGAACCGTGAGGTGAGATCATGACCTGAGCCGGAGTCTGATGCTCAATCCACTGAGCCACCCAGGCGCCCCTAATGTTTATTTGTTTTTGAGAGAGACAGAGTATGAGTGGGGGACGGGCAGAGAGAGAGAGGGAGACAGAGAATCCAAAGCAGGCTCCAAGCTGTCAGCGCAGAGTCTGACTGGGGGCTGGAACTCACGAACCATGAGATCATGACCTGAGCCAAAGTCAGACACTTAACCAACCAAACCACCCAAGTGCTCCATGAGAGACTCTTAACTATAGAAAATAAACTGAAGGTTGCTGGAGGGGAGGTGGGTGGAGGATGGACTAAATGGGTGATGGGCACAAAGGAGAGCCCTTGTTATGATGAGTGTTGGTGTTATGTTTAAGTAATGAATCACTAGATTCTGCTCCTGAAACCAATATTACACTATATGTTAACTAACTAGAATTTAAATAAAAACTTGAAACAAAACAAAATATGGCATATCCATAATGTAATATTATTTGTCAATAAAAATAATACATGCTACTACATGGATAAACTTTGAAAACATGCAAAGTGAAAGAAGCCAATCACAAAGACCACATACATATTTGCATGATTCCTGTTGTATGAAATGTCCAGAATAGACAAAATTATAAAGACAGAAAATAAATTAGTGGCTTCTTAGATCTGGGGAGGAAGGGGGATGGGGAATGATTCTAATGGAGAGTAGTGGAGTTTCTTTCAGGAGAGATAAAAGTGTTCTAGTCAATTAATCTAATTACCGTCCATTTAAAAAATTTTCTTGATGTTTATTTATTTTTGAGAGATACAGAGAGCAAGCAGGGGAGGGGCAGAGAGAGAGGGAGGCACAGAATCTGAAGCAGGCTCCAGGCTCTGAGCTGTCAGCACAGAGCCTGATGTGGGCCTCGAACTCATGAACCGTGAGGTCATGACCTGAGCCAAAGTCAGATGCTTAACCAACTGAGCTACCCAGGCACCCCTAGTCACTGTCTATTTTAATGAAAGTTGCACAAACTGAAAATGTACTAAAAACTATTGACTTGATCACTAGAGTGGGTGAATTGTGTGGTATGTGAATTATATCTCCATAAAGCTGCTTATTTGTTTGTTTGTTGCTACTTTTATAAGTGATTCATAAGACTTTTTAAAAAAAGAGTTCAGGTGTTCCTGGGTGGCACAGTAGGTTGAGTGACTCTTGCTTTTCGCTCAGGTCATGATCTCAGGGTAGTGGGATCGAGCCCCATGTCTCCACGTAGGGCTCTGCGCTGGGCATGGAGCTGCTTGGGATTCTCTCTCTCCCTTTCTCTCTCCTCTCCCCTTTAAGTTTATAAATAAATAAACTTACAAAATAAAATAAAATAAAAAATTAAGTTAAAAAAGTGTTCACATTGTGTATCATCACCCAGAGTTTGTTAAAATTCAGATTGCTAGGCCCCATCCCAGAGTTTCCAACTCAGTATGACTGGGGTGGAGCCCAAGAAACTGCACTTCTAACAGATTCCCAGGTGATCTTGAGGGTGTGACTCCTCAGGAACCCCACTTTGAGAACTAGAGGTCTAGCATTAGCTGTGTGATGTAACTTTTCTAGGCTTCAGTTGGATCTGATAAATGGGAATTAAAGATAGCTCCTGGGGTGCCTGGGTGGCTCAGTCAGTTAAGCGACCTACTCTTGATCTGGCTCAGGTCATGATCTCATGGTTCATGAGTTTGAGCCCCGTGTCAGGCTCCTCAATGACATCATGGAGCCTGCTTGGGATTCTCTCTCTCCCTCTCTCTCTCTCTGCCCCTCCCCTTCTCACACGTATACTCACTCTCTCTCTCAAAATAAATTAAAAAACTTAAACTTAGTGCATCCTTCAGGCTCAATAAATCATTATTATTATTATTATTATTATTATTATTATTATCTAAATCCTTTCCTGGAGGAGCTCCCAGACAGCCATCAGTAATTCATTCGTTCATTTAGCAAATATTTATTAGGCACTTACTATGTGCCAGTCCTCCCAGGAGCTGAGAATGCAGCAGGGAAGAAGATAGTCTTGTCCCATGCTTCAAGGAGTGGACATTCCCAGGGTCAAGGGGCACTCAGACCATGTATGAATATGCAAAATAAACAGAAGAATTTCAGATAATGATGTTCAATAAAGTGGTATGATAACAAATGGCTGGCAAGTTACATTGGTCTCTGGGTTTAGGCAAAGCCTCAGAGGAGGTGAACTTCAAGCTAAATCCTACCACTAAGAACCAATCTGTTTGAAGTCCTGGTGGAACATTCGAGGCAAAGGAAACATCAGTGTAAAGGACTTGCAAAGGGAATGAGCAGGGTGAGGATACAGGAGCATGGGTCACTAAACTTTAAGGCAGTCCAAGAGTCGGGGTGCCTGGATGGGCTCACTAGGTTAAGCATCTGACTTCAGCTCAGGTCGTTATCTTTCTTTTTTTAAATAATTTATTTATTTTTTAATTTACATCCAAGTTAGTTAGAATATAGTGCAACAATGATTTCAGGAATAGATTCCTTAATTCCCCTTACCCATTTAGCCCATCTCCTCAACTACAACCCCTCCAGCAAACCTCTGTTTGCTCTCTGTATTTAAGAGTCTCTTATGTTTTGTCCCTCTCCCTGTTTTTATATTATTTTTGCTTTCTTCCCTATATTCATCTATTTTGTATCTTAAATTTCAGGTCATGATCTTATGTTTCATGAATTTGAGCCCCACATCGGGCTCACTGCCATCAGCATAGAGTCTACTTGAGATCCTCTGTCTCCCTCTTTCTGTAGCCCTCCCCACCACTATCTCTCTGCACTGCCCTCCACCCTGGCTCAAAAATAAATGTTAAAAAAAAAAAAAAGACAGTCCAAGAGTCGGAAGAAAAGTACAAACAGTAGTTTGTACTGGGAAATGGATTGGGCCCCTCCTTTGGACATTCATACCTCAAACATTTATTGAATGTCTAACATGTGATTAGTTGTCCCATGGTAGGCCAATGGATGACTCAGAAGCAGTCTGGCCCTGATGAATCCCTGTGTATCATGGAAAGCAGACACAGATAAGAAAAAGATAACCACAGGGGCACCTGGGTGGCTTAGTCAGTTGAGCTTCCTACTTCGGCTCAGGCCATGATCTCATGGTTCACGAGTTCAAGCCCCACATTGGGTTCTGTGCTGACAGCTCAGAGCCTGGAGCTTGCTTCAGATTCTGTCTCTCCCTCTTTCTCTGCCCCTTCTCTGCTCACACTCTG